AGGGATGTGTCGAATCTACTTGTTCAACAAACGTTTCTCAGCAAAGAGACGGACGGGTTTGTATCATGGCGTTCGATTTCTCAAGTCGCTTTCATGAACAAGGTCCTGTCTCAGCCGATCACGACCCGTGAGCATTATCATAACGCTCAGATAAAACAAACATATTTTATCAGATGCAAAGAGATTAATTGGCTATTGGTGAGCTAGATATGGAACAGAGCAAACAGATTTGTGTACATTCGCAAGCTCAAAACTATCCTTCCTGTGGCATTAAACAAAATCGAATATACCACGATTATGGAAGTTACACCAGGTCTCGATATCAGACTCTGTGCCTAGCAGCAGGAGCCTCCAGAAGCGGCTGCAGAAGCGATTGCGGCCCTGTCAACCGGGTCACGGACTATACCTCAGGATTTGGCGTGTCAGCCACATACCTACGAGCTCGGTTCAGTCTTTGGCGATGCCTTTCTTCTGCAACCTCTGGACCAAACTGAGCAAGATCTTCTTGGTACTGTCTCTCTAGCCTTCGACCGAGAAATCCTCTTGACGCAGATCGATGATACACTGGAACGTCGGCTGGCTTGGCGTGCTTCGGGCTATTGTGCGATTGCATATCGTCTAGGACAGGCTTATTCATGAGAAACGGAATCAAGAGGCACATTTTTACTGTATTAGAGGAAATAAGTATGTATCAGTCGATAGCAAACAGTGCAAAATGTCTGCAGTGGGCTGCAAAAGTCATGAGATGAGACTACTTAGTCCTGTCACATCTTTATAGGTTTTCCGCTGCCGTGTTATCTCGCCTCTGGATATGTCACCGAGGCCGTGCATATCGAAAGAGATGAATTCAACTGTTTTCCTACAGACGCCAGTATCGGTTAATTGCCTCGTGGAAGTCTTCCCAAATAGGCAACTTTGAAAGCGTCATTTCAAGTACCCTACAGGATACGAAAGAGTCAGATCGCCAAGCAATGTGGGCCCAGCCAGGATGCCGTGTAGTCCCCACCTTCGACATCCTTGCAAACGGGACGGTATATCGGAATTATATACATATAGAGAGAGCGGAGTGTCAGTCATAGGCTTCGACTAAATAGAAGAAACAATTTTTGGACCTAATTTTCATGTTGGAAGTATCTCAAATCGCGATATGAATCTACGGTGTAGAACTAGCTCCTGGAGCAACTTCACCTGTGTACAACTTTGCAAAATGCATCACAGAGGAAGGATGGAAGCGTTTTGTCTCCAATGCTCGATACTCGTCGAGATCGTTCAATGCCTCCAGTATCCAAACACGCATTCCTTCGTTTTGTTCAAAACAAAAAGCCATCGTTAGCGGAATATACATGAAGGCTGCGCCCATGGGTCGCATCTTCCAAGCGTAATCATAAGATCGATAAATGCGATCGAGCAACTGCGGGCTTTCAGCACCCCAAGGTGGAGAGTTTTCGACATGTGAGACGGCGCTGATCCGTAGAACGTGCGCCATCCTGTCAATCACGAGCGAGAAACCGGCATGGAGCATAACAACAGTTGCAAGGCAATAATCTTTGTACTCAAAAGCCGTGGCGAAAATTCTGGCGTCTCGAAAGCTTTTGACGTGGCGAAGATGCTCGTCGGAAGATAATTCGGCTTTGATTTTGTTGTCAATGAGCCTCAAAAACCGCTGCATGGTTAGCACTTGGATACGCAGATCGCTTGATGCAGCGTAGGATAGCTGCCCAGAACAGTATCTGCGGATTTTATTGGCAATGTTAGGCCAACTGGTGAATTGGTATCTCAGTTTTTCCACCCAAGCCGTCCGGTTGGCTTGCACATCCTGTGCATTGAGGACAGCAGTCCACTGAGGCGAGGTAAAAAGGCAAGGGACGCCTAGAGCTACGGCTCGCGCAATCTTCCACAATTAGAGTCATAGAACATAAAAGGATCATGTGAAACTTGCTCACCACTGGCCCTCGAGCTTCCCGAAGAATGGCTTGATCTAACGCAGATTGGAGATTTTCCGGGCCTCGTACTTCCAAAAGACGAGCTATTCCGCCAGCGTGATGAATGGCATTGAAGGAATTAGGACAACTCAACATTACCTATCGTGTTCAGCAACGTCGTGGCAATCGACCGTTACGGAACAAGATGTTTTTAATTACCTCAACGTAGTAAAGTATCACGACAGCGAGCAGAGTTTCGCTAGACAAGCACTCGGCAGGGTCGGCTAGTGCTCTTCGTATGCTCCTGATTGCCTGAACATAGGCTTCTATGCTGATCCACGCCGAAGGCTCACGTTTATGCAGCATCGCTGTGTGGATCATTGACATGAGCCGTGCCGACTGATCTAATGCAGGAGAAGATCCAATACGCTGCGGCACAAACTCCGTCCACGATCCCAGCCACTTCATCCTGATGCCCACATGGCCTTTCTCAAGGCACTCTACGAACTTCAAGGATTGTCGATCCCTGGAGGCGAGAGCAGGCTCGGCAGGAAGCGTAGTGCGATGCCATTTTTGAACGAGAGCGCCGTTGGCCAAGTACTCCTGTGTTGTGAACGTGTATGCCTTTTGCTGCGAGGGCGAAGAAAATTGCGGATTCACGAGGCCTGTACTCTGCCACTTCCCTTTTGCATCGACAAACTGAAAGGGCTTCAAATAGTTACAATGGCGCCCAAGATTCCTGCACCGATCGCACACTGGACGTGTCTCGTCGCACTGGATTAAGTCAGCAACGGCTACACCGTACCGCATGAAGTTGCCTAGCAGCAATTGACCTTAACCTTGCGTTTTCGACAGCTCTCGCATCCATTGCTTCTTCTCACGCCAACCATTGCGCGGAAGTCGATTTGATCTTAGAGGTCGATAGTCATTCATATGATCCTCATGCCGCCCCAAGGCCATTCTTACTATATAAGGTTCCATTTACCGTGCATGACAGCCTGCGCCCCTGCATGGGCCCCACTGGCAGTGCCACTGCACAAGATGTTAGGATTGGCAGTCCAGGATAACGTAGAGCGGTGATTCACCTAAACCCAAACAGGCTGATCTGCAAGAACAGAACGAACTTTAACTCATCCGGAGCGCAGTAGACTACCGTATTAGGAATGTTTGACACGAGCCACTTCAAAAATCTTAATTCTACGCCAGAGCAGTTCCCGCTTTTACAACCTTGATAGCAATGTATACCTTCTTAAATGGATCACGCAACCCTAGTCTGCTCTTGAATGAAATGTTAGCCGCGGCGGACTTTGGAGCATCCGTATGTTAATCTCTGCCTCTAGGTGTACTATATGCGTGGGTCCTCTTGATCCATTCGATGAAGGTAACAGAGTCCAGTAGAACGTTAGATAGAGTCAAAGGCGAAAAGTCTTCGGCGGAAATGTTTGCTTCGTTTACTCCATCTGGGAAACTGTCTCCGAAGAAACGATGTTCCAGCCCAGCAACGATGGCCCCCAAGTCCTCCGCGATGTCGTCGATATGGTTGTACTCGACACAATTGATCTGAGAATTTTCTGCCCCTTGATAGAAGAGTATGGGTCCTCCAAGCCTGAATCTGGACGTGTCTATTTGATAGTCCTGTTTGAATGTGGTGCTGTCGTTAGACCCGTGGTTCAGTTTTTGGATAAATCGCTGCACAGGATACTTGGGACACGTTGCGATCGATTCTGCAAGAGGAATTTGAGGGGCCCACGAGCAAAAGAAGAGTATAGTTCGTAAAGAGAAATGCATTTTGGAAGAATTAAATCGACATGGAATTTGCTGGCGTCTATTTTTCATTGAGTGCTGAAGCGGGACCGTTCCCGGAGCTTCAAACTCCAAGACTATAATTACCGGAGGTCAGGATCGCTGCGTTGTTCAATTGCTATTTACTTTCTCGTTACTCATCTGTTCAAGGTTCGTACGGCGGCTTTCTTGCGACAGTCGCAAGAACCCATTACCCTGACACATTCTTCGCTTCTTGGGCAGCCGCGCCGGTTCTCCAATCGTTCGGTTCGCAGGAAAACAATCCGGACAGATTCAAGTACTGGGACTGGGTTGGTCAAGAGCTGCCTTATGATTTGACAAGACGTCTCACGAATTGCAGGCAGCAAAGGTCTATGAGGAGCAGTCCGCCGAGGCTTCCGCGAAAATCGCCGAAGCGATGGATGAATTCGCGTCCTGTGCTGCGAAGGGTATGTATAACTGAAGCGCAATTTTTAGGGACCGCACTAAAGGAGTACACTAGGTTCGTGCAGTCCAATCTCCAGATCGCTGCATCTGTGTGACCCCCAGCCGTCGAACGCTACCGAATGGTTAGACCTCTACTCAGCGGTTGAATCAGCGTACTTGTACGCAGCTCAGTTTAACAGTCGAGTTCCTCTCTCGTTTCCCGTAAGCCTGCCCCTCAATCGTATTGTTAATGAAACTCTCCATTCCAATGACACTGGTAGCATACTTCGTTCCCCAGCAATGTTGTGGAATTGGCAGCTCGATCAATCGCAGTGTCTGGACTGGAGATCAGCGAATCTGACAGGCGGCGAGATTTCCGGTGTCTTTCTAAAGAGTTACGAGTACATCACGTGTAATTACTTCATATTTTCAGCTTCTTCCATCCGTAACGGCAGTATGTTCCCAGCTCAAGATGTACCACCGGCTTGCATTGTTCCTGAATGGGAGGGTCCAAAGTTCAATAACACTGGCGATCAATGGGTCGCAGAGTTCGGTGTGTCTGGAAATAACTTGGCTAAACTGGGTCGATTTTTGATCACACAGGGTGGATACGATCCGACGACTGCCATCGGGCCTCCACCATTTGATATTCCCGCCTTTGCCAATTCAACGCGTACAAACTTGATGCTTGGATTGAGTCACACAGAAGAGAGCTTCTCAAATCTCATCGAACCGATAGGTCTGAATCCCGAGCTCGATCTGGTCTGTGGAATCGATGATCATGATAAAGAAACGAATGCTGATTAGTGTGTAGATGCAGAGGAGCATCACGGAAGTTCTCAAGGGGTGGCTCGCCGACTGACTTTGACACGATGTACAATGGAAGTTCGGGTAGCTACATGATGACTAGATATAATTTACGTCTCGTCAGTGCAATGTGATAAAGGGACAGGCCTGGGTGATTAGTCCGTGTTAAATATCCCGCTCGAAGACAGGAAGAAAATACCATGTGTGCATGAAGAGCCTTTGAGGCTGCGCCATGTTGATTTGGAACCATCGCACACTGGTAACTGAAAGGTTTAAACATATTTAGAAGCGATTCATCGCAGTATCGTAGAAGTCCTTGGTTGCGTCCGCCTTCTCCCTTTCCAACGTTTGGACCCCATTTATCAACAGCGCAATGAACCGCTGCTGGACAATTGGTCCCGTCACCGGATCGCTAATGTGCCGGCCAGCACCCCAGCCAAACGGTAGAACCATCCTCCGCCTGCTCTCTGTGTCAATTACCACCATAGCGTCGAGAGGCTGCCGACCACCACCTAGCGGGTGCAGCAGTCCTAGCTTGAGGAAGTGGTTTGCCGGGTTACCTTGCGTCTCGACGACAGGCAGACAGATTGGCGACGTTTCCATAGCCCGGGTCAAAGCTTTGGACTCGCGAGTTAAAACGAGGGACTGGATATTTGGCGAGCATTGGATGAGGGTGGAATAAACTGAGCTGGCGTGTGTCAGTCGTGGCCATCGCTATTGCCGGAAGCTCGGCGGATTACCAGAGCAGATCGAGCTGCAACGTCATCTCGCCAACTACGCAAAGCAAAAACAGCGACTTGGACGAGTCGTATCGCTTGAAGTTGTTCCCGTCAATCTGCCCGGAACCGAGCGCAGGGATCGTGATGTGAGAATCCAGTAGCTCGGACGTATCGAATTTCCATGCTTCGTCCTTCGATATGAGCGCAACATCTTGAACGGGATCAACACTCTTGTTCTTTTTCGGATTATCAATAATAACGTCGGTTGCATTCGCCTCTTCGGGATCGTTGTCGCTAAGCGATCCTCTCGTTGTGAAAGGCCGCTTGCGCGAAGACGAATGATTCATTGCTCACAGCTAAACTTCTATAGGTCATAAACATGATTCGAAATAAACAGACCGTCAGCCTCCCAGCAAGTCAGGTCAAGGTTAGTGAAAGGATGGCGCGGTCGTTTGGCGTTTGGTATTGTTCAGATGAATCAGCGCATAGCTACTTCGGATTGTTCCGCACGCAAAAGAACTTGGACCAAGCACGGGAAGGCCCCGCATTTACGGTACGGTGCTATGGCGGTCGACTTCGCAGAGTTTGACAGATCTCATGCGGGAATGCTGACGACTTAACCGGAAAAAATTCAGCTGTCAAAAGCAAGAATATGCCCCGTCCTAGACGAGCTAGATCCGCTCGTTTTCGTCCAAACGAGGCGTTGCTGATGCGGCCTGAACATGCCCCGCGCACGGCATGAGGCCGCCAGCCTGCAGTCGACCGCCGCTCGTCCATCCCGCATCTCGGAGTCGAGATTCGACAGCATGACACAAAGAGCCCTCCCCGAAAATCCTTGGTCATGACCAGTCCTGCCGTCTTGCGCCAGAGCCAGCAGAAGATCTGGGAAGCGTGCGTCCCGCTCGAGATCCGGCTGGCGAAGTCAGAATGCAAGACCTACGACGAGTCGGACCCGTACCTCGTAAGGCGACGTTTTTTGACGGTGCGGCGAGAAGCGTTGATTTTGTTGACTTGGATCTTTTTTTACTCTGCAGGTTATGATGCCGCGGGTCTCGTATCTGCCGCTGCTATTGCCCAAGCTGCACGCTTTCTTCTTAGACCTCCTCATCAACGAGGACGCCCGCTTCTGGCACGGCTGGTTCTCGTTTGAGAACGTGCCGCTGAAGTGGCAGTTCCCCGTCGGCCTGCTGTTTGACATATACTCTGGCAGCAGTGATCGGCTGCAGGACGAGGACGGCCAGAGCCCCAGGAAAGACGCCAGTCCCGTCGAGCAACGCGTCGGCGGCGCCGAGTCGCCTCGAACGTGGCAGCTCACGGTACATTTCGACGAGTACCCGGCCGACGTTCTCGTCAGACTCGACCATGACGCAAAGGTTTTGCGTGACGCCTTCACCAACAGCTACAAGGAGTCAAGTTTCGTGCGCTACTCGTCCACAAAGGTCGTCCAGCGACTGAGCATGGACGACGCGCTGCAGCTGTGGGAGGCGGTTGAAAAGCGTACGAAGCCTTCCCGCCTCGACCGCACTTCGCGCACGCGCGCCAGACAGATCCGACGCTTGATGCTAACCTCGGCCCAGATGATTTCGCGCTGTTCTCGCCGATACAGCAGAAGATGATGCGTCCGCGGGACGTGGAGATCAAAAACATTGCGCTCAAGATCTACCTCCCGGCGACAGCCAGCGACGACGACGACGAGAAGAGTTCAACCACGCCCGGCCACCTGCGCGTCATACAAGGCCTGGTCCCGCCGCAGATATCAGCCCGTAAGCCTACCCTCGTTCGACTGCCTGAACAAAAAGAAAAACCGGTCAAAAAAAAAAAAAAAAATCGATGCTCATCCCTTTGCAAACAGGTCAGCCGCAAACACTGGGTACGGCTCTAAACAGCCTCGTCCCTTCCCTGTTCCCGAGCCGCAAGATGCCACTCCTAGCCCAGCCCGTTCTGCACGGTGCCATAGTGCCCTTGGGCGTGAGTCTCGACACGCTTTCGGAGATCGCATCGTACGCCGACGGCTTTCTGCACATGACCGTCGCCATGATACGATAAAGACCGGCGTCAGGAAAGGTTCGTGCTCTTCCTTCTCCCACTCCAATCTCCCTCCTCCCCCCCCCGCCCCCCCCCCACACACACAAAAAAAAAAAAAAAAAAGAAAAAAAAAGCACGCTGTCTGTATTATCCAAATCCTTTCGGCGGCTCCCTTTGACGCCGAGTCTGCGCCTTCTTTCGCATCCGTCTTTCAAAAGCTCTGCACGCGTCATGGGCGAGCTCACGAGTCCGCAGGATGGCGACAAAGACGTGGACTCCAAGCCCACGAAACGTCGGTTGCGGGAGCAAGAATGAAGATGTCTCTCAAAAGAAAAAAAAAAAAAAAGACATTAATCATCGAACAGCGTCGGAACCTTCATGCTAGCTTTAACTTCGCGGCGACCCTGCTCTCGACGCGCTGCGGTGTGAGAACGAAAAAGAAAAGAAAAGAAAAGAAAAGAAAAAGCTCAAATGTCCGTGAGACCCCGGCAGCTTGACACCGAAGCGTTTGGAGGACGTTCGTTTTCATGGGCGGGAAAGGGAGTTTGCTCCAAGCAAATATGACGATTTCAAGTGCCACCCTACTTGCTTGCTTGGATTGAGAACAAGTCAGGGGCTGTTGGCCGCTTGTATCGTCTGACGGGATAGGATCAAGAAAAGCAGAAAAAGAGAAAACGAGCAAGTTAAACAGTTTTGTGACCGGTGGAGCGTAAGCTTTGTTCATATATTTTGGCCTGGCCGGCAGAAGGCGCAGTTGAATCTGGCTAATTGCAACATGATCACGTATCACACCCGCTTTGTTCGCGAGAGCAGTTCTGAAGCAAAATTTCGGCAGCGTCTCGCCGCCGTGAGAAAATTAAAAAAAAAATCAGCCCCCTCCACTTTCTATTTTTTTTTTCCTTCTTGGATGCACATAGGGCCCCCTCACCGCGGGCCTTGATCTCTCGCTTCAGACAGGTGCCGGACAAAGAGAGCCCGGGCTGTTTATTTCAAAGGTTTGATATCCTTGGTCTTGCTAGCTGCCAGCGCGCCAGACAGATTGTATTGCGTGGGAATGCCTTCGATACGGTGCGTGGAGTTGATGTTCTTAACCAGCGTGATCTGATAGCAAGTAGCGCTTCCCTGTCGCGAGATGATGGTTGAATAGGCGAGGAAGTATTCCCATATCTGCGCAGTCGTTAGAATCGCCCATGGAGGCCCTTTGACACGGGTATGGGGTAAAAAAAAAAAAAAAAAAAATAAGTGGCCGACTTACCCTGAACCACCGATTTCCGTACTTGGCCACGACCTTGTCCTTGTTGGCCATCCAGTTCCTATACCACCTCCAAAGCGTAGCAGAATAGTGAACGCCGATCGTGTCGATGTGCTTGACCTCGAAGCCAGCGCCTTCGAGCTTGTCGACGAAGAAGCCAAGTGGAGTGGAAGCGTCGGCACCAGGGAAGATGTACTTGTTCATGAACAGACCCCAAACCAGATCCTCGTATTGCCAGGACTTGCGCAGGCCGGCGATCTGCAGGAAGAAGACGCCGTCGTCGTCGAGCATGTCGTAGACCTGCCTGCAGAACTTACCGAAGAAGCGGACGCCGACGTGTTCGGCCATCTCAAGACAGGTGATCTTGTTGTAGCCGCCTTCGGGAACGGGGATGTCGCGGTAGTCCATGCACAAGATCTTGCTTTGCTCCTCCGGGATGCCGTTCCGCCTCAGACCGGCGTTACCCCACGCGGTCTGGTTCCTGCCCAAGGTGACGCCGGTGACGTGAGCGCCGTAGTTGACAGACGCGAACTTGGCCAGAGTTCCCCAGCCGCAGCCAATGTCGAGCATGCGTTCGCCCTTTTGCAGGTTGATCTTCTCGCACACGATGGCGAGCTTGTTGTCCTGCAGCTGCTCGAGCGATTCCTCGGTGGTGATGGACGAGATGATGCCAGAGGTGTAGATCATGCGAGGTCCAAGGAACCAGCCGTAGAAGTCATCACCGCGATCGTAGTGGTCTCGGACTTGCTCCTCGTCTAGATATCAAGGTCAGCTGCCCAAGAGTTCGACACGGAAAAGGAGAAAATATTTAAAAAAAAATTTTTTGAAAAAAAAAAGGGGCAAAGGGAACACGTACCTTGAGATCGAGTGTGCATGATGACCTCGGGCATCATACCGGTGACGAAGTACACCATCAAGCCAATGGTAAACCTGAAGGAGGCCCAATCGTGCCTGTACTCGAGCACGTCGAGCATGTCGCCCTTGACGTCGACCTCGCCGTCAAAGTACTTCTCGTGGAAGGTGTGCATGGGGATCTTGGCGCGGCCATAGTACTTCTCCCTGTCCTCTTCCTTGTGGAACTCGAGGTACTCTTCGATGCGCTTCCCGGGCAGCTTGGCCTTCTCGTTCTTGCGGGGGGAGAAGGCCGAGCAGGCGGCCCAGAAGGCGGCCAGGATGGGGATGGTGGTGAAGAGGCCGAAGAAGAGGGCCGTCTTCAGGCCGCCGCCGATCTTCCACGCCAGATAGTACGGCACGCCGGCGAGCAGGGAGAAGAGCAGCACGTTGCTGAACTGCTCGCTGGACGGGCCGTCCGCGGGGAGCGGCGCGTTCTTGATGGCCGGATACTGCAAAGAATGAGCGCTCAGCACACGTCGTACACGCAGCCGCACGCCGGACTGCCAGAGCTTGCCCTCCCGGCCGAGCGTGCGTCGGTGCGGACGGGTGTACGTACAGAGGTGGTCCTGACGCCGCAGTCCTCGGCGGCAGGCACCGGCGTGGGCGCCGGCGGAGTCTCGATGAACTCGAACGACTCCTCGGAGGGAGCCTTGGAGCGGTCGGACATGGTCAATTGGGTCGGCGCAGACGTTCCCAACGACAAAGACGTGGCTCGCAGGATCGGAAGGGAGAGAGAGAGAGAGGAGACGGGGGGTGGGTTGGCGAAAGGCAACAACGGACGAGCGAGAAGGGAGAGGGGCTCGGGGAGTTGGGATTGAAGAATACGGGGCCAGTAGGGGTGGCAAGGAAGAAAGAGGAAAAGAGGACAGATATGGTGGAGCCCTTTCCCTTCGTCGTTTTTTTCGTTCCTGACACACCGCAAAACCGAACGTGGTGGTGCACTTTTTTAGCGGTTCAAAGAAAGCTGAAGCAGAGAAAACCCTCGACGGGGTCTTCCTCCTCGGGAAGGGTCCAAGCTTTCCTTGCCCTTGCAGGTTCAACACAAAAAAGAGATACACGTATTCTTGGGTGAAGAGGACGTGCACCGCGCCCTGCGACGGGACCTTCTTTCGTTGTCTAACGAGTCAATCCTGTGAATTGGACTATTTGTCTGTCTGTCTGTCCGCAATAACACACCGATACATTCAAACACGGACAGCTGCCCTCCAAGCTGGTCGAGAGCTCTGTCCTGCCTCCCAAAATCCCACATGCCAAAGGCTCAAAACGATCGCTCAGCCCTCCCGCAAATCTTCAAGAAAAAATCCCAATCAAGAACTCAAAGGGTTTAAAAGGAGAGAGCGCGAATGAGTGTGAGAGTGAGTGAGCGAGGCAGAGCGAAGGAAAAGAAAGCAAAAATAAAAATAAAAACGCCGATGCCCTTTCAAATGCCAAATGATGCAGACAAATGCCTCTCTGTGCGGTATCAGACTGTTTGCGCCGTTTGAACCCCCAGGCGCGGATGGTATCATGAACAAGTACTTAACCCAAATCGTTCGTGGCACTCACCCTCCCTCGACTTCCCCCTCCGTCCCATGTAATTATCCTGCACGCTCTTCCGGACAGTCGGATCTGGGGAAGTTGGGCGGGGAGTTTTGAAAAATAACGTCGAAGCAGCAGGTCTCTGGTATCTGGATGATGATTCGTTCGCGTCCCGTTCTTCTGCCCAACGCCGAGAGTTTTTTTCATCCAAAGTCATTCCAGAGCGATGAAATGGATCGTTTGTAGTACACAAGACACAAATACGTAAACAAGAAAAAGAACAGTGAATAAAACGCCGTTTCCCGTGCCCTGCGCCTTGTGAATGTTCCATGGTGGGTGGTGCATCATGCAATCTGTCGCGTGATAGAAAATGTGTAGGAAGGTGGAAGATGATGCAGTGGAGTGGAGAAACCTTAGTCGTTTATCGTTCAAAATATTTACCTCGCCGGCGAGCGAGAGTACTGGGGCGTCGTCGAGGGTGACGCTCGCATCGGCATCGTTGGCGTTCCCGACGTGGACGAGCGTCGCGCCGCCTTTTGAGCCTCGATCTTCTTCTTGATGGCGCGGAGGCGGATCTTGAGGCTATCCAGTACTGTGCAAACAGTCAGCCCTGTTTCTTGTTGACTTATTCTTTTTGGTCGCGAACGACAGGAAATAGCCGTCAAGAAAAAAAAAAAAAAAGGGGGGGGGGGGGGGGGGGGGGGGGGAAGGCAAGATGAACAAATGACAACTAATGGAAAGAGGACTGGCTTTGACATACATTTCTGCACGGTAGCGCGATCTTCCGCCTCAAGCCCATCAATCGGCTCATCCTCCGTGCCTTCGCCCTTGGCAGCGCCCACGCTCTTCCTGCTCGTGCGCCAGTCATCCGAGTCAAGGATAGCCTCAAGCATATAAATTGCAGTCCTGTAGCTGAGGACACCGTTCTCCAGGTCTTCGTTGGTAAGCTCGCATACGGCCGCCCCGCGACTCATCTCCAGGGCGCGATCGTACATGAGTTTCTCGGCCGTGATGCCGGAGGTCAGGATGACATGGTCGGACGACGTGCCTACGCTTGTTGCGGAGTAGGCAGACGAGGACGAGTACTTGTTGTTCGGGTGATGCGGGTGGTCCAGCGGAAGACGCTTCTGCGCATCTGTGAGCTTGCGTGCGACAAAGTCGCTCTTCTCCAGCGCGTCGTTGAATCGCGTCCGAGCCCATTGGACGACGCTGTTGATCCTTGGCGCGGCGGCCATCATGCCACCACGCGTAGGCGCTGAGCGTGGCACGTCGGACGGGTTGGCGTGCAGCAACTCACCGCGAGAGTTGTGGAACCACGCGGCCGAAATGTCCATGATCTTCTTAAGCACGGCGAGCACCTTGACAAAAAGGACGAGCGACTCCTCAGCGATGACAACGACGTGGTCGACGGGAAGCTCGGACTCTTCGTCCGCTCCATTCTTGGCGGCCTCGTCCATGGCGCGTCGCATGCCTCCGATGCCGACGCCGTGCGAGCTGATCGGGCGGCTGGGCACGAGCTGCTGGAACTTGATGTCGGCGAAGCCCCAGATCACGTCGCTCCTGTGCGCCAGGTCCTCAATCTGGTGTGCTACGCGAAAGTCGTCGTCGCGCGAGTCCACGGCTCTGGTGGCTCCGTCGCCGATGAGGAGCATGCTGCTGCCCGTCGGATAGGCCGGGAATGCCGAGTACTGTGGCGGCGAAGGGCCCTTTCCAGAGGGAGGCGATAATCCCATGCTGAACAGTCTGAAACTGGCCATGTTCAGCGCCTTGGAGATGGCTGACGTCGCGGAGGTGGGCGACTTGCCGTACCGGCGCTCGTACGAGCCTGTACGCTGGTGCAGGGGCATCTGTCGCGAGACCTGCTGCATGGCCCTGACGCCAGTCGACGAGGGTGCCGTGCTCGAGTAAGGCACTCCCGAGGTCGTAGCCCTTCGCACCATAGCACCGCCTTGAGCACCGACCTGAGGACTGTGGGCCAGCTCGTCCGCGAACGCGTTGACTTCAACGTGCCGTTTCTCCACGACCACGTATTCGCGTTCAAATGCGATGTCCTGTGCCGTCTTTTCTCTGGCGTCACGCAGCGCCTTGTCGTCCGTCTTCCCTCGCTCGCGGTCGAGGTGATCCTTCAGCACCGAGCCGCCCGGTGAGTTTGTCGCACGGCTGTTCCTCCTCTCCATCGTCATGGCTGCGGCGGAAACGGGCTTTTCTGTCGCCGGAGCCGTCGCGTGGCTCTTCAGACTCGGCCTCCTCTCGATGGGGGACGCCTGGGACGCCTCCGCCGGCTCGGCTCTGGCCTCGGGCGCGAGGGGTTTGGGAGACGCCCGAGTGGCGCTTTCCCTACGCTCGTCGAGAGGAACGCGCGATTGCCTGTGCGCGCTCGGCCCCGCCACCGTAGGCGACTTCACTGAGGCGCTTGGCGACCGGGCGCTGGGGCCGGCCTCGACCTCGGACTCGCGGGGGCTGTTCGACAGCGAGTCCAGGCTCGGCCGGGTTCGCGAGATGCGATTGGCCAGATTCTGCGTGAATTGCGCCTGCGGCCTGTCTTCGCCGACGAGGCCGGGAATCTGCTCGGTGACGACGGGGTCGTTGAAGAAGGTCTCGTAGCTGACGCGCTCGGTGGGGATCCTCTTGAGAAGCACGCGGATCAGATTCTTCATGGCGGGGGTGATTACCAGGCCTGTGGGGAAGCGGATCACGTCCTCGTTCTTCTCGATCTTGCGCAGCAGCTCAACGTGGTTGTTGGCCCTGAACGGCGGCTTGCCGACCATCATCTCGTGCAGGACTGTGCCCACGGACCACAGGTCCGCCTTCGCGTCGTACTTTTCGTAGCGCAGAATCTCTGGGGCCATGTACAGCGGGGACCCGCACAACGTCTCGGCAAGCTCCAGGCTGGGCAGGAAGCGGGCGAAGCCAAAGTCGGCGATCTTGAGGATGGGCAAAGAGGCGACGCCGGCGGCGGGAATGTCGATCCTTGGATCCGTCATGACGGGAGGTCGCGACCCGCTCTGACTCTGGTACCAGGCGCGTGGCGGGACGAGCAGCAGGTTCTGCGGCTTGATGTCGCGATGCAGCAGGGCCTTCTCTCGCATGAAGGACAGCGCGCTGGCTATCTGCTTGACGAAGTGGCGGACGATGACCTCGTTCAGACCGCCGACCTGAGGCAGAGGGTACTTCTTGATCATGTCCCTGGTGATCTCCTGCTCCGCCAGCTGGTTCCTCCTCTTGATGAAGGTGGACAGGTCGCCCATCTCGCAGTACTCCATGCACAGATGCACCTTGTCCGCGGTGCGCTTGCAGTCAAACAGGCTGACGATGTGCGGGTGATGCAGGTCGCGCAGAATGCGGACTTCGGCCTCGAGGTTGTCCTGCAGCTTCTTGGTGAGCTTCTTGACGTTGACCGACTTGATGGCGATGATGGCGCCCGTTTTCTGCAGCCATCACGGTTAGCGAGCGCTCTGCAAGACATTCTCATTTGAGGGGGGTTGAAGCAGGACGCAGAGCGGTCCACGAAAACGCACCAGATGCTTGCCCCTAAACACGGTCGCGAAGCTGCCCTTCCCGATCTCCTCCAGCCTCTGGAAGTCACCCACGATGACGCTAGGCTCGGCGGGTGGCGCCAGCCTTCTCTGCGACGGCGGTGGGCGCTCCATGATGCCTCTTCGTCTCGACCAGCACGAGCGTAGCTCTCGCACTTCGTGGGGTGAATGTGGGGTGTCGAAAGTCCAAGGGCGAACGGTGGCGCCGAGGCCGTTTACCAGCGAAGCTGAGGATAGAGAGTCGCAGTGACGTGATTGTACATTTGCACTCCTCCTCTGCCTGTGCTACACTTGTTCTTAAAGGGAGAGGACAGACGGGCGCGTTGTGGGGGAGACTCTCTCAAAGGGTTGGGTCGAGGTTCGAAGATGGGGGGGGGGGGGGACTCGTGAGTCAAGGGTTCGGGTGGGCTGCGTGCTCTGACAGGTATGGCGTACCGCGGTGCACGACTGATAGGATCGAGACGGGCCTCCGATACCTTTCCTCCTCTTCCTCTTTCGTCGTTTCGATTGGTGACTTTACTACTGTCGAAAGCGTAGAAAAATCCGGATGGGAGACTTCTCCTGAGGGGCAGGACAAACGTTGGTGGGTCACGACTTTGGCGCGCGAGACAGCGAATGTATTGCGTGATCCTGTTGGATGATGGCAGACTAATACAGCATAACGTACGGGCGGGTATCAATAATGTTCTGGCCCGCAGCAGAGAGAAAATTAGAGACCAGACGAGAGGTGTGCGGTGAAGCACAGCCGGCGACGGAGTTGCGGACAAGGTCGAAAGGCGGCCACGTCTGATGGACGAAGGAGAAAAGCAGGCGGCGAGCAAAGCACGACGGTTTGGTTTGGACAGGATCGAGAGTCAGGTAGGGGAATGGAGGTTGGTTTTGTTCGTCCAGGGGATCGGGGTGTTGACGTGCGCCAGCAAGCACCAGCAGCAGCACGGCAGCGCCAGCAAGCTCCAGCAAGCAGATGCAGTAGCAGCTGCAGCCAGCAACAGCAGGGCAAAGGGCGAGGCCAGACAGGGCGAGGCAAGGCAGAGGCGAGGCGCTCAAGGTAGGACGGGCGGCGCACACAGACGGGCACGGGGAAAGTAACAAGGGATGATCATGGACGGCGGCGCTGCCATTGTTATCATTACCGTACGGTTCGTTTCGCTGCTTCCAGGCACTGCTGGATGCTCCTGCCCGGCGCACGACCTGGCCGCGCATCGAGGCCAGAGGTGACGAGAACGCGGGACTGACGCCGACGAGCGATGCGCAGCCGGCGATCACGCACGGCGCTGCATGACCCAGCCCAGCGTCGGCACGCACCCTCGTTCTCCGTACACACGTAGACACACGCGCTCGCACTCGCTGTCCCTTTTCATACCGTGTCATGGGCGGGCCACGTTACCAGTTACCGTACAGCAAGGCACCGAAACTTACGTTACGGTACTGAACAGCGGCAGGCAGTCACCGCGCCCTCGAGCAGCAGCAGCAGCAGCAGCGGTGAAAGCCATCACGTCGCTTGCTGGCTGCTTCCCTTGCGATGCGCGCGCGATGCTCCGCGACGCTCGATAGGCCGGCTGAGTCGAGTGTTTTGTCAGCGAGGGAGTGACTGAGGGATAGCTTGCTCGAACTTCTCATGCCGCACTGACTGGTGGCAACCCGCAACAACCACGACCTTATCATCTCTCCACCGGCAAGGGCCTCGGCCGCTTCCAACCGTCACCGCGATCCCGATCGTCCCCGCAGGTGATTGCACACGCACGTCACCGGCGCTCCAGCTTGCTCGCAGCTTGTTGCGCTGGTGACCCTGGCTTTGCTGTCGACACTCGTCCAGTGCGTGATCACGTTCCATCCGGGTACACATCCCCAGCGTCACGCGCGTGTGTGCGTCTCTTTCCACTGCCTCTGACGTACGTTTATTGTACGTGCGTGTACGCGCGACGCTGCCCGCTGGCTTCTGTCTATCGCCCAGGCTCGAGTGCCCGCCCGCACCTGCTGCCATCTGCTGGGTGCCCCCCTCGCTCAGCGCTGTGCCTCGCCCCCTCTCTGTCCCCGCCGTCGGCCTCCCTGTGTCGCTTGATCCTGTACCATCTGACGCCCCAAGCCCACGGCCTCGCTCGCTACGGCACGATCAAGCAGCGCTCCCCAATGATCCCCCTTCTCCCTCACTCGCTCTTCTCAACCCGCGGCTCTCTCCAACCCCCCCCCCCCCCCCCCCCCCGCGCCCCGTTTGTCAGCGCCAGTGCGTGCGCGTGTAACGTACAAGCATCATCATCTGCAATCAAAGTGTGTCGGCATCCGTTTATCTCCTCCACATCATCGGCCAGAGAAAACATACTGTGATAGGGCCACAATACAGGCGGCCAGTTTTGATATACTTAAGCGTATCACGCCGCCTTTTCACTTCATTCATCACGAGTCCGGCCTAGACGCGAGCGTCCCGTAACTTTGCGTATCCCAACAATAATGCACCAGCCCGTCAGCGCGATAAGAATCCTCCGCTAGTTCCCTTTTTGCTTTCCTCCTGGTTCGTTGTCCCCCTCCTCCAGAAGCTACAGATGGCGGGGTCTGCGTGGCGTCGATGGACATGGCCCCATCGAGCAGATCTGACCACCCTCACACGCGCACTTCCTCGTCGTGCGTACGACTGTACGGAGTACAGAGGTACAGCACAACCAAAACAGAACGCCCTATCGCAGCTTCGAGCAGCCAAACAACGCGCGCACGCTGCAGGGGCTTCGCCCAGCAAGTGAACCACCGACCCACCCGACTTACCCGATTGGGCAGTGCCATGCTAACTTTAAGCTCCCGTCCAAGCGCTCGAAGACATCATCGCCGGTCCCATGGTAGGCCTGGTACCGTGACCTGCCTACCCTTGCGCGTGGTGTGTTCCAGCCAAAAAAAATATAGGTTCGAGAATGTCTTTGGAATGATGAGGTCAGAAGTACGGCATGCGGAAGTCTGGAAATCGCCTCGTCTACTCGTCGAGCCGGCCATGGGAGATTCTGCTGGCCAGAAATTCCCCCGCCTGCCCTGCTTTTTTTTCCCCGCCAGCGTTGGGAAGATCGACGATTTTGGCGATGCCAGCGTTGGGGACCCGTCTCTGTTCCCCGCGAGATCCGACGTAGTCGGAGTAAACTCCTCTTTGAGACATTGTGCTACTGTCTATTGAGGAGTGTGACTGTCGCTGTTTCTTTGTATAGCCCTCCCTGGCCACACGACGTTGACATACCAAGGACCTGCCAGAATGTCCTGTCGTCCAACGAGATGCACGTCCCGATGACCAATGAAGCTTATTGTTGACTTGTACCTTGCAATTCGCTGAGCATCCTGATGCGGCTGTCGAGGGCGAAGGTATTTTGATTCTTGATTTTGGCATCTCGACCAAACTCTTTCACACTTATAATAGAGAAAGACTGTTCTGAAGACGACAGTGTAAGCCTGCTAACAGTGCACAAACGTGTCTAGTGCGAAATGTTACAAGTCGAGCTCGTATGATCCAGCCAGGAAACCGCGTTGCTGCGCCCTAGGGAATTTCGAGCGTCAAAGGATCGTTTTCAACCATGCGAAGAAAAGAAGGGAGAAATCGGCTTCTCTTCGCTGGCTGAAAAAGCCCTTTTTTTTTCGCGCAGGGTTCATCCTTTTGTATTCAGCACCGTCGTGCTCTTGAATATGCTTAGACTGCGTAGCGGAAACACAAAAAGTGTACCTTGTGCGAAAGTTACGATGCATGTTAGCCCAGAGGTCAGCCAAATGGCATTCCCGTACTCGAATAGGTCTGTCTAGCCGCTGATGCGTCTCTAACATATGTATTTTGGGTTTCTCCACGAACGCACGCTTTGGCTCCCTGAGCGTGACATGTTCGGCTTGCGCACACGAAGTCACGCCCGGAGCGTTGTAGTCTGTCCGTCTGTGCGGCAGCTTCACGACGACTGCGCCGGCAGACGTGAGTCTGTCGGACCCGGAAGCTGTGCCTACGTGCCTGAAAGCAACCCCTGCTGAACATGGCCAAACGCCAGCGCGGAGCTTCGAGCTTCGAATGTGAGATGGTCTCGATTGACTGCGGTCTGTTGCGTTGGCATTCAAAAATGGCTTGCCAACCCATCATGTGTTTGACGAGATAGAAGAACACGATCCATGTACTGGACCCGCTAAGCTGTGCGAACACCATGCGTAGTACCATCATGTTATGTTCTTCAAGGACGTAACTTAATAGCCGTATTCACCCCTGGAGTTGAGGCAGCTTGAATGAATGCCTCCATGCAGGGAGATTGACGATTGACGATTGACACGTCTCTCGACCGTCCCAATGGCAGTGAATCGCAGCGGCTCGAAGTGAACAGACCTGAAGCAGGGCAAGAGAGCACCTGAGAGGGCCATAAACCGTTATGTATATTTTCCTCCATGATAAGATTAGAAACAACTCTCCACGAGGCGTACATGGACGGCCAGTCTTGAGAACACCATCACCCGCGGTGACCTGCTTTGTGCTTGGGCACTCGGCGCACAAATTATGACGCGTTGTTCCGGCAAGCGTACTTCTTTGCCTGGAGCATGCATTTCCATTTTTTGGTTGCTCTGCTAAACGTAAACGCGATGTTCAGGCTTGCGCAGCCGAGAAGCCCGAGACGCGCTTCGCAGGGCGGAGCGATCAGGGATTTGTGAGGTCATCGGCTGTTTTTTTAACACAACGGCAGGACCCCAGGGACAGTCGAGCCATCTAAACAAAGATCATCTACGCCGACGCTCGAATGCAATGTCTTCTCCGCCGGCCTCGATCCTGAACTTTCGAGATGTAGGCAAGACGATCAATAGCTTCTGCGGCACGCGGTACGACGCTCCGATCATGAGCGACACAACCGGCTGACGAAGGAGGAAAGGCTGCTGCGTGAAGAGATGCTATACCGTTCGGCTCGTCCTGGTTCGTTCTTCTTTCTCTTCCTTATAAGTGCATCAAAATTGCAGATGCTCCTTCACAGGTGCTAGACGCTGACGGGACGATTAGATGAGGCGTCCAAGGAAGACAGAGATCGGCTCATCCACGAGTTCAAAATCAAGACGATAGTTGATCTGCGTACCGAGTAGGAACCTATAAGCGTTGTCGATGTGAGAATAGGCAAATGCTGACTTACTGACGGAACTGAGCACATTGAGCAAGCGAAGAAGCGCGATGCCAAGCTCGCCGCTGCCGCCGCCGCTGCTGCTGCTGCTTCTGCTTCGCCAGAAGCAGCACCATTATCTGATCAAGCGGCGCTAGAGCCTCTTCAGATACCCGGGATAAATTACCGCAGCATCAACTTCAACGGAAAGGCGTATTCAAACATGCTGCTCAGCAAGCTCACCTGGTGGCAGTTCATCAAGCTGATCGGCCTCATGGCGACAGGGTACCGCATCGATGCGATCAGGATCATCGGCGAGAACGTGATGCGCGACAAGGGACTGATCGGTCTCGGCATCGACTCCGTCGACGCGTGCACCGCGGAAGTGCGAGAGTTCTTCGACGTCCTGGCCAACCGCGACAACTTCCCCGTTCTCGTGCACTGCACGCAGGGCAAGGATCGGACAGGCTTGACCGTGCTCTTGACGCTTCTCTTGCTGGGCGTCCCTCTGCCGGCTGCACAGTATGACTATATGGCCACTCAGGGCCAGCTCGACTCGGAGAGGGAGGAGCGCTTGAGAGAAATCGCTTCCATTGGCTTGCCAGAGAGTTTCGCGGACTGCGATCCGGAGTTTGTGGCTGCGATCGACAGACACATACAAGAGGAGTACGGGGGCGTCTCGCAGTACCTTAGCCATGCCGGTGTGGGCGAGGAAACGCAAAATGCAGTAAAAGAGCACTTGAAGATGCCATGATAGATTTAGACGACCGAGTTCCCCAAACCCGTTCGCTTTTGCATTTTCAGACCAGAAAACAATGCCAATGGTCAATAGAATCTTCCTTCCGCCTTTGAATATTTTTATGTTTTTGCTCAAATAATATCTTAATCTAGCCTTTTATGATACCACTAACATGCTAAAAGTTGTGCTAGCTAGATTAGAGAATAGGATGTTGCCGCTTTTGCAATCAGCCCTGCCATCGTTCAATCAGTAGCGCGAGCTGCAGTCAGCATGAAGTCTTGGCGTAATCCTGCGTAGTCCTGGTTCATTTGCGAAGATCGCGGACCTTAGGTTGTCATCACAAGGACATCTTCGGCGAATTGAAACCCTTCTGGAGAAGATAAAGGGAAGATCTCCACGGCTACAAGCTGGGTAGTTGAAGAAAACCGGGTTTTGCTGCACGGGATTCGTCTCTTATCCTCAACAACGCCATGGACACTTCTGTTTCCTTTGTCCTCCTGTCAATCTTGTTCGTCTACGGCCTCACAAAGACGGCAAGCTTTATTAGAAATTACATTTCAGGAGTTCGCACGGGGTATCCAGTGTGGGTATCGCCAGTTCTATCGCACTCCATTCCGTGGATGATGCTTGGGCCAATGTTCCGTCCTCACATGGAACGGTACCTGCCAGAATGGATATACGATCGATTGGTGGTGTTCTGCGCCGGATGGGAATTTCATGCGGGTGCGAAGATGCATAGACGGCTGGGAAAGGTATTTGTCGCGGTTACTCCAGACGAGTGCTCGCTCTGGTCCGTATTTGTCACATGAATGTTACTAAACTGAAGGTTGACGAAATCAGGATCGCGGAGCCCTCCGTAGCAAACGTAGTTCTTCATAGAAGAAAAGAATTTCAGCAGCCGGAGCTGGTAGGACGTATCATCAATTTCCTCGGGCCTACGCTCTTGGCGGCCAACGGAGAAGACTGGCAACGACAGCGTCGTGTTATCGCTCCAAATCTCAACGAACGTATCAGCAAGTCGGTGTGGGACGAAAGCTGCCACCAAGCAGCTAAGATGTCGGACTACCTAGTCAGGAACTCAGGAAATAAGACCATCGATGGACTCCGCAACATCGCAATCAACGTTCTAGGCCGCTCCAGCTACGGCCAGAATCAGGAATGGACGCCGGACGAGCCGGTTGACACAAGCGACATACATCAAGAGCTTACATACTTCAAAAGCATCTCACTTGTGACATCCATGCTCCTACCCGCGGCTTTTATCCCGCCAATACTCATGGATCTATGGTTTTTACCCACTGCGCTAAGGTTGCTTGGTAGGGGATTGAAGATGTTGCCGAAACTGACCAGCGAGCTTCTCGAGAATGAACGCAGGGTTGCGGAGGTAGATCAAGTTCCACGGAATAACCTACTTAGTCAGATGGTGCAGTTGTCGGATCATTCTAAAGCCAGTAAATCTGGTCTCACGCTCACTGAGGAGGAGATCCATGGGAATCTGTTTCTCTTCTCTGCCGCTGGCTTTGATACAACTGCAAACACGATGGGATATGGTGTGACGCTGCTAGCTGCTTATCCCGAATGGCAAGACTGGATGAGGGAGGACTACCATGGTCTAGACAGTGATCCGTCATCTTGGGTATATGAAGACATATTCCCAAGATGTAAGAGAACTTTGGCCGTAATGGTAAGCCCACTCTGTCCAGTGATACAGCTTTTTGAGGTATTTAACCCTAACTTGCAGTTTGAAACTCTTCGTCTCTTTACTCCGGTGCTACATTCATACCGCTGCACGAACCATGAGCAGCTTGTCACGGACGAAAGCGGGTCTCATCGTCTCGCGAATGGTATGGATGTATTTGTCAACCAAGCAGCTATACATCGTGATTCATCAATCTGGGGTGCCGATTCAGAAGCCTTCAAGCCCTCGCGATGGATAGATTCCTCTGGCGACTTAATCACTCCGGAGAAGGGCACCTTCATTCCATGGTCTGGCGGACCCCGGATATGTCCCGGTATTAAGATGGCCCAGGTCGAATTCGTGGCCACGTTTGCGACTCTCTTCTATGCAGCCAAGTGCGAGTCAATTGCGGCTGGAGTTAACCCGAGAGAAAACGCGCGCTTCCTTGAAAGTCTCATGAGAGATTCGTTCTTTAAGCTGTCATTGCAAATGAAACACCCAAGCGAAGTTCGGCTTCGATGGATTCCTCAGGGCTGTCAGTGACATTTGCCCTTTAACCCGGCTTTTTTTTTTTTTTTTTTTTTTTTTGTTGTTGTTGTTGTTGTCTGTGTATGCAAGGAATAATCACACCTAATAAAGCGTTTGGACTCCTCAATTCAACGACTGCTACATCAATTCGGGTGTTCGAATTGAGGTGACGAGAACTCAGGCTTTAATTCACCTAGTGAAACACTACCGTGTGTTAGATAACATTTTCAAGTTGTCCAGATCTCCGAATATGCATACAAAACTAGAAATTTTCAGCGTCCCTGGCTACGTCCTAGCCACTGCCTACACTTGGATGAAAGAAGTGACGAAGTTGAGATTGGAGAGACCCCTCTTCACTCGGCTTTGATTTCGTGTGCTAAGCTACGATATTGATTCGTTGTCGCTTGGAGTCATAGGTGCACAAAGCCGGCAGTGGCATGTCAGAATGCAGTATAGTCTCTAGTAACTGCGGTAGTCTAATTTGGCATACGGCCACCTGCGCGTTAAGAAAACAGACATATTCTGTAGGACCCTGTAACTTAAGGTATTTGTCGCTGATCAAAATGCGCGAATCTAAGCTTGGTTGTATCACATGTGCAATATTAGGACTCATTCGGCTCCCAAATCCTTGATCCGCAGAATCACCACCATGCGCACACGACACTAGGCTAAGGACTTCTTAAAGGTGGATGTTCGGGTTAATTCGCATGTCATCGAATTTAGGTTTAGCTAAGCCTGAATTGACTGCTTGGGCCGTAATTAGAGAATGCCCTTTCACGAAGCATTGGAGTTCTCGTTCATTGATGGGGTGAACGTGCCTCATTAGGACGTTGCTGTTCTCGTGAGCAAGCCGCTGCGGTTTTGTGTCGTGAATGCTTGTTGTCGCTCGGTGGCTTTACCAGCTGAGGCCGTCGACGCCTTAAGGCCTCAGTTACCCGATTCGGAATGCGCCGGGCTCGGGCCTTGCCTTCGCAGTGAGAGATTGTCTGTTCATCACCGTCTTTGTTTGTTTCGCTCATTTCAGCCTTTTGATTTGTCGCTGGGTATTAGATCTGGCAATTGAAGGGGGTAGATGGTGCATCTTACGTCGCTCGTTGCCTTCCACACTCGGATCGCAAGGTCCGGAGCTGTAGGACGAAGCTTAACATGCTATAACCTGACCGCCACCCACACTTCCGCGACCTGCATAGCCTCTGTCCGTAGCAAACAGCTGCACTCACTTCGCCCACTTAGCAGCCAACCCGTGCTGCCTGAATTCTCTCCGAAATCCTCTGCTCTCGCACGAACTTCACCTTCGGACTCTAGCCAGCCGCTCCGTGGCCTTCGAAACCTAAAACTCACTCCGCGCACACAGCTCAGATCTTGCAGTTATCAACGACACAACATGTGCCGACATTCGCTTGGAGCAGATGTTGCGGAATCTGCAGTCGATGTGACCAAAGGTCGCGAAGTGCTGCCGACCAACGTGAAGCCTCTTCACTATCGGCTGACGCTGGAGCCAAATCTCGAATCCTTCGAGTACAAGGGCACCGTCGAAATCGAGTATGTTGCGAAATAGCGCAGAGATTGACAGCGGGGTTGATAAATATCTAGCTTGGATGTCAAAGAAGACAGCACGTCGATCTCGCTCAACACAATCGACATCGACATCAAGTCCACCAAAGTCCTTAGCGGCGGGACCGTCGTCGAGTCCGCTCCCTCACTCACGTACGATGCCGACACGCAAACCACGAAAGTGGAGTTGAAGTCTACGCTGCCAGCTGGCAGCAAGGCGACCTTGGTGCACGAGTTCACCGGTACGCTGAACGACAACATGGCGGGCTTTTATCGCTCGTCTTACAAGAGCGCGGACGGCACCACGACCAAGTATCTGGCCACCACGCAGATGGAACCCACAGATGCGCGACGGGCGTTCCCGTGCTTTGACGAGCCAGCGCTGAAGGCGAAGTTCACGATCACGCTGATTGCGGATAAAGAGCTGACGTGTCTGAGCAACATGGATGCTGTGTCGGAGAAGGAAGTGGATGCGTACTACGGCGGTGGGAAGAAAAAGGCCGTGACTTTCCGCGAGACGCCTCTCATGTCGACATACCTGCTGGCATTCATCGTCGGCGAGCTCAATGTGATTGAGACGAACGAGTTCAGGATACCGGTACGTGTCTTCGCCACTCCGGACAAGGACATCGAGCACGGCCGCTTCTCGCTTGACCTGGCGGCGAAGACGCTCAAGTTCTACGAGGAGAAGTTTGACAGCCAGTTCCCATTGCCTAAGATGGACATGGTAGCCATCCCTGACTTCAGCGCTGGAGCCATGGAGAACTGGGGTCTCGTCACCTACCGTGTCGTAGACCTGCTGTTCGACGAGAAGACGAGCGGAGCATCCACCAAGCAGCGGGTTGCCGAAGTCGTCCAGCACGAACTCGCACACCAGTGGTTTGGTAACTTGGTCACGATGGACTTCTGGGAGGGCTTGTGGTTGAACGAGGGCTTTGCAACTTGGATGTCGTGGTACTCATGCAATGCCTTCTACCCAGAGTGGAAGGTCTGGCAGGGCTATGTGACGGACAATCTACAGAGCGCACTCGCGCTGGATTCGCTCCGGAGCAGTCATCCAATTGAAGTGCCTGTGAAGCGAGCGGACGAGATCAATCAGATCTTTGACGCCATCTCTTACTCCAAAGGCTCTTGTGTCCTCCGTATGGTCTCAAAATACCTAGGTGAACAGACGTTCATGGAGGGCATCCGACGGTATCTGAAGAAGCACGCGTATGGAAACACTCAGACCAGTGACCTGTGGGCCGCGTTGGCAGATGCCAGCGGCAAGGACGTCAAGAAGATAATGGAGATCTGGACCAAGAACGTGGGATATCCGGTCGTCAGTGTGACCGAAGATGCGGCCAAGAGCTTGATCCACGTCAAGCAAAACCGCTTTTTGCGCACGGCAGACGTCACGCCCGAGGAGGACAAAACTCTGTACCCTGTGTTCCTCAGTCTACGGACTAGGGATGGTATCGACGAGGACTTGACTCTGTCGACACGCGAAGAAAGCTTCAAGATCAAGGACATGGACTTTTTCAAGCTGAACGCTGATCACTCAGGCATCTACCGGACATCGTACACTTCCGAGCGCTTGATGAAGCTTGGCGAGGCGGCCAAGCAAGGCCTTCTCAGCGTGGAAGATCGCGCCGGCATGATTGCAGACGCCGGCGCTCTGGCTGCATCCGGCTATCAGAAGACGTCCGGTTTGCTCTCGCTGCTGAAAGGCTTCAAGACCGAGACCGAGTTCGTGGTTTGGGACGAACTTCTGGCGCGCATCGGCGCTTTGCGAGGCGCCTGGGTCTTCGAAGACGAGAAGGTCAAGGCTGCGCTCAAGAAGATGCAGCTTGAGCTGGTCGCTGACAAGGCGCACGAGCTCGGCTGGGAATTCAAGGACACAGATGGCCATATCGAACAGCAGTTCAAGTCGCTGCTGTTTGGCTCGGCAGGCTTGGCAGGTGACGAGAAGATCAAGGCGGCTGCGTTTGAGATGTTGAACAAGTTCAAGCAAGGCGACAAGACGGCAATCCATCCCAACATCAGGAGCAGCGTATACTCCATTTGCTTGGCGTACGGTGGCGAGGCCGAGGTAAGTGCATTATGAGTCAGACAGGCCGGAGGAGTGATTGCTGACGAGACCATTTAGTACGACGTTGTTCTGGACGCGTACTTGAACGGCGCTACCGCGGACGAGCGCAACACCGCTCTGCGCGCTCTCGGCCGCGCCAAGTCTTCCGAGCTCATCAAGAAGACGCTCACGCTCCCACTGTCGGAGCACGTCAAGGGTCAAGATATCTACCTGCCGCTCGGTGGTCTGCGCACGCACCGCGACGGCATCGTCGCCCTCTGGTCCTGGATGAAGGACAACTGGGACGAGCTGGAGAAGAAGCTGCCGCCAGGCCTGAGCATGCTGGGCAGCGTGGTGAGCATCTGCACGAGCAGCTTCACACGCGAGGATCAGGCGGAAGAGGTGAAGAAGTTCTTTGGCGCTCGGAAGACCAAGGGCTTCGATCAGAGTTTGGCACAGAGCATGGACGCGGTGAAGGCCAAGGCAAAGTGGGTTGAGAGGGATGCGAAGGACGTCGAGACGTGGTTGGCGAAGGGAGGCTACCTGTGAGGGACACGGGACTTTTTTTTTTTCTTTGCTTGCATACAAGAGGCTGGTTACGGTGCAAAAGAGGCGAGACCTTGGCATGTTCGGTGTACATCTAGCATAAGACGCAGTGGCAAGCTGGCAGCACGAGACGAGGGATGCGGATGTCTCCGCTCGACCCGCGCTCGTCAGCACGCCGTTCCCGACGCAAATTAGGCCGCGCCGGAAATCCAGATGTTGCTATCCAGACACGTCGCCCGAGGCCCAGGCGCTTACTAGTGAAACCGAGCACGACGGCCGCTGCTTCGTTTCAGAGGAAGGGCCGTTCGAAGACGGCGAGGAGTGCACGCCCTGAGGCAGCTCAGCAGGCGGACGCCCAGCCTAGACCGCCCTCTTCGCTCCAAGCAGCTCGGAGACGGCGAACAAACGGCAGAGCCTTTGCAGAGACGGAGAGAGAAGGGCATGAGCGCGCTTGGCCTGCCGAAAAAGACGCCGCGGGGGCCTGGCACGTGACCGTCGAGCGCGGACACGATGAGGATCAGCGCGCGCGCCAAATGTAGACTTGGAAGCAGCGGCGCAGAAAGCTTGGCATGACATCGTGCTCGTTCCTGAAAAAAAAAGCCGCGTCAGTGCCGGGAAAGAGCAAGAGCCAGCCCGGCGCCGACGTCGCATGTGCCGTTGCGCGACCGGTGGCCGTCGTCTGCTGCCCTCTGCGTTGCTCCGCGGGCGCGCAGAAGCTGTGCGGAGCCGCTTCGTTCGCCCTCTCGCGGCCGGCAACGTGATCGACTGCCTGTGTACGGCCGAAGTGTCCGCCGCCCCCCCCCCCCCCCCCACCCACGTCCGCTCGCTGCCTCCCTCTGTCTGGCCTCTGGCCTCGTCTCTCCTTCTCGGCGCGAGGCCGGAGAGCACACGCTTGCTGTCGATGAATTGTGGAGAGGATTGCGTCTGAGGGACGATCGTGCCAGCTCTCGGCGCGCGGGCGAAATTGCGGGTGCGAGAACGTGCCGTGATTGTGGTGGCGCAGATGCGTACCTGTGACGGGCGGGCTTGTGCATAGGCAACAAAGCTGCGCATGGAAGAAACGATGAGGCCGTGTAGTGTGTTCTTTCGGCGCCCTTGAGCCCGCCGGCTGCGTCTCGACTGTCGGCCTGCGTAGCTTTTCATCGCTTCCCTTTTTTCCTGCCCCTTCCCGGATCGTTTCCTAGCTGCATGTTACCTGCGCAGACAAGTCAGACCTTGCACGTACGTTGCACATCCATGGTGGATCTGCAAGCTTCGAACGGCACGCCGTTTATAACTGTCCCTTCCCCACATCCTGCACGACCAAGAACATTCCTGGACCTACGCCGCCAACGCCGCGATCGCATAGAAGCCCAAGAAACTTGAACGCCGTGCTCCTGTCCGCTCATCGCTCGCTGCGTCGTCTGAATCCCGGCTGGCTCTTGTACGTGCGTTTGAGCCTGGGGCGTCACTCGTCCTAGGCGACATCCCGCGCAGACACAGATGGGCGTCGGAAGCTCGCGAGTAGGAGAGGGCGCGGGCAGCGTGTATATGCGCGACCAGACACGATGTAAGACAGCGAGTTCAATTGTCTACGCGAGCCCCCTCCCCGGACTGGAAGGCTTGCTTGTGCTAACGTCGCCTGTTTGTGAGCCGCAGTCTCGATAGCCGCGCTGACCGTCACGAACTCGCGCAACCGAACTCTGCTTTCTGTCGCGCCGAACGAATTTCCCGCGTCGCGGTACGTGGCCAGACGCGAGGCCGGAGACGAGACCCCCATCGAATACATACAGGTGCGTCCGGGGCCTCTCGTGGACCGAAGATGGATCCACGGGGGCGTGACGAGGGCGAGTGTTCAGACGGGCTAACTGCGTGTATCAAAACTTCCAGGACCCAGAAAGTGGCAGCAGCTCGCAGCCGCCTTCATTCTTACTTCGTCTCTCCAACGATGACGACCTCATATTCAATTTCACCATAGTCATAAGAAAGACCCCCGCTCCCCCCTCCGCCACCGCCGATGGAAGCGTCCCCCCCGCGGCGATCGACACAACCATCAACGGGCTCACGTTCCTGTACGCCTCCACGACCAGGGAGCTCGAGAACCTCATCACAAAAGAGCTGCACGCGGACCCCAACCTGCACAAGAACAATCCAAACGTGACCCTGATCGGCGACTACAGCACGTCGGGCAACCCGTCCGTCTCCTTTCAGTGGAGCTGGAAATGGCGTCCCCCCAAACTCGCAGAGGACCGGGGCGGCGGCTGGCGCAACTGCTGCAGCTTCGTCGACTACGACCAGCGCAACCACCGCTTGAATCCCCTCGCCATTTTCACGTTCTGGGTTCAGAACACGCAGCGAGTCGCGGCGCTGAACAGTCCCAAGTCGCCGTCGCCGCGCTTGGACGTCTCGGGCACGGCCAAGCTCAGGGTGCCGAGCTCACAGTCGATTGATTCGAGGCTGAGCGACTCTGATGGCGGCGTAGACCAGAAGGACGCACCGCCGGCGCAGTCGCCGGGCGTCGAACCGATCCCGGAGGATGGCCTCGGTCTCGTGCCCACCATGACGGGCACAACGATAGCGACCAGCACGGTGAAGCCACTCGACATTACGTGTCCGCGCCCGGGAGAAGATTTCAGTCTAGCTGAGGATGGGCCGCTCTTCCGGGCCACAATGAAGGCGATGGAGCAGCGGACGGGCAGCATGCGCGCACGCTGGAAGCGCGTGCTTCGCAAGGCCGAGGAGACGTATGCAGCCCAGCAGAACGCAAACAACGCCGTCGCCGGCCTCATCGATGCGCTGCGGGATGCGTCGACGTCGAGCACGAACGTGGTGCAGCCAGCCATGGATCATTACTTCGACAAGATCGCCAAGGAAATTCTGGCGTACGAGAGGAGTAACACGCAGAATCTGCAGCGGATGATCATCGAACCGATAGCCAAGCTGTACAACGTTGACATCAAGCAAGCCGAGTCGAAGAAGCGCGACTTCGAGGAGGAATCGAAGGAGTACTACGCGTACGTGTCGCGCTACCTAGGTCAGCGGCAGGACTCGCTCAAGGAAAAGAAACGTGCGGAGACGGACTCCAAATACCAGAAGAAGAAGCGAGATTTTGAGCTAAAGCGTTTCGACTACTCTTCATTCATGCAAGATTTACATGGCGGCCGCAAGGATCAAGAAGTGCTCTCGAACCTAACGCGTTATGCCGAGACGCAGGCGCAGGGATACCTCAAGACGGCGAAAAGGATTGAGGAGTTGCTCCCACAGCTGGAGGTCTTGATCGCTGGTGTACGCGAGGCCGACAAGGACTATCAAATTCAGCGTACGGAGCGTGAGGAGAAACGGCGTGCCTTGGAGAAGAGCAGCGCTTTTCCCGAGCCCGAGAAGGTCCTTGGGATCTCGCAGCCCGCCCTCGCGAACGCGCTGCGAAACGGAGTCGGCATCGGGAGATCTGGCAGCGTGCATGGTGCTGGAGCGGCGAGTGCACCAGCAATGACGATTAATGTGCCCGCGGCTACGTCTTCGGAGCCTGCGTCGGCGCTCATGCAACCCGTTTCCAGTGTGCTGTCGAGCAGCCCCAGCCAGGCGAGCAAGTTCAGAGGGATCAGGGATCTGGAGGAGCGAGACCACAACTCTCTCGGGTCAGACGCAACAAATGGGTATAGAGGGAAGGAAGGTCTCGTCTGGGCGATGAGCAGGCCAGGTAGTCACGCGGATCCGAAGGGCTTGAACAAGCAAGCGTGGCACAAGTACGGTAGCTCCTCTGTACTTTCACCAATTGCAAACACTGACTGTTGGGCTTAGATACTGGATCGTCCTCGACCAAGGCAAGCTGTCCGAGTATACAGGCTGGAAAGAGAAACTCGATTTGCACATGGAGCCCATCGATCTGCGTGTCGCTTCGGTCCGCGAAGCACGCAATGCAGATCGTCGATTCTGCTTCGAAATCATCACGCCGCAATTCACACGGGTGTATCAAGCGCAGGGCGAGGACGACATGCGCACCTGGATCAACGCCATCAACAACACCATTCAGAACGCCGTCGAAGGCAAGGGGGTTGCCGAGCCCGTGCCCAGAGACTCGTCGGGCTCCTTCAACAAGGAACTTGCGTCCGTATTGACGGGGAAGAGTGCATCGACAAGTCATCGCAGCGGACATAGCAGCCACAAGAGCGGCGTTTCGCGGCATGCTACTGTGGGTGAGAAACCTTCAGCGAGGATACAGTCCGTCGAAGTGAGCGAGAGTTCGCAAAGACTGCTACGACAACTTAGAGAGCACGATCCGGCGAACAGCTTCTGCGCCGACTGCAGCACAGATTCACGTGTAGACTGGGTGTCTATAAACCTTGGCGTGATCATTTGCATCGAGTGCTCTGGTATCCACCGATCCCTGGGCACCCACGTGTCCAAGGTGCGATCGCTCACGCTCGATCCAAATTCCTTCACCAGCGACATCGTTGAGATTCTCATGAAAGTCGGTAACCGCGTCAGCAACGCCATCTACGAGGCCAAGATGGAGCGGGGCCAGAAGCTCATGCCGCAGGCGAACCGAGAGCAACGCTTGCGTTTCATCACGATGAAGTACGTCGAGCGAGCATTCGTGCTTCCCATCTCGCCGACGCTATCGCACTTCGGAACGCCAGACGAGACGCTCCTCACCTCGGTGAAGAAACACGACATCCCCGGTGTCATCTACGCGCTTGCCCTCCGCGCTGATGTCAACGCGCATGACCGTTCGCGTAACACGCACGTCGTCTTCCTTGCGCTTGTAAGCGCAGACCCCGTCTCTCCAGCCTCCACTTCGCCTGCTAGCTCTCCTCGGACATCCATTCAGTCACCTCCCCCTCCATCAGGCGGTCGCAAACCGTTCGCCATCGCCGAGCTTCTGATCCAAAACGGCGCCGAAGTCCCGCAGACACTGCCTGCCATTCCACTGAGCCAGGACGCGAAGATGTACCTCCAGCAGAAGGAGGATCTGCGCATGGGACGTAAAACAGCTCCTGCCGCACCCTTGGATGAGGGCGTGGGTACCGGTGGCGACACCGTGACAGCGCTGCCGACGTTTCAGCCGGACGATGTGCGCAAAAAGAGAATCAGCTCGTCGGGGAGGCTGATCAAGTCACCTCCTGGCTCCAGCTCGGGGACATCTTAATTTATTTGTCCCTCAATCAAACAACCGACCTGGTTCCTACACTCCATTCCTTTCTTTGTTTCTTGGACTCCCCACTGTGAATATTCTGGGACAAAGGTGCGCTGATGACGCTGCCTCTTAATACAGGAGATTTTCGAGGGTGGTTTTTCTTTCGATGGATAATGGGGAGGGCCTTTTGATTTGGGACAGAGAGCATGTATTGGTTGCATGTGAGAAAAGAGAGGGCATCCCAACGGGCAGACGAGTCCCTCGAACAAGTAGACTAATGTGGAAGAGAAATTTGGTTTTGCTTTCGCGCTTTGGATATTGCGCGACAATGGGGCGGCGATATATACGGGCTTCCTTTTTTCTTTGGAAGGGGGAGGGGGGAGATCAAAGGAAGGCTTATGACGACATGATGGGCTTTAGGGGGAGGGTGAGCGATGATGAACGGGCGCGGATTAATGGAATGAAAATAGCGATTTTGTATTTCAAGCTTCAATATGTTCCCGCCTTGCATCTTGTCTTCGTCGTCGTACAGGTGAATTGGACTTTGTCGGGTCTCCAAGCTGTGCTCCACTATCGCCAGCGAGCTTGCCTTGAGTTGGATCACGGACGTGATTTAGCAGTTTATGTTGTCGAAATGTACCGTCTGGCTGACGACAGGTCTGATTCGCCTCCTTTAGAAAAAACGTACGTGGAGTTTTCGCACTCATGGGATCATAACGAAGGAAGAGAACGCACCATTGCGATCCGTACATGCTCTTTGGCCAGAGTGCTGAGGCGAACGCAAGTGTTACAAGGAGCCAGGTCGCGCACGTGATGGCGACGGAGCTTGGACCACACGCCAGCCGTACGCGAAAGTCGACGAAGCCAATGCAGCCTGAAGCTGGTCATCACCACTGCTAACCTCCGACCTCCCTATTCTTCGCCTCCAAATCCCCCTTTGCTCTGTTGCTCAAGCCTTCCTCCAGTGCCTTGCACGTCCGCTAAACTCGCTGCCAAAGAAACATTGTAGCCATGGTACGCCTCCAATCGCACCGCCGCAGGCCATCCCATTTCCCGCCGGCTCTGTACCCTTTGAACGTGAGGACGTGCTGATCTGATGGCCTTTGTAGACTTCGATAGGTACAGGCTACGACCTTTCAAACTCCGTCTTCTCGCCCGACGGTCGCAACTTTCAGGTATGTTCTGCGCGTGAAGGCCAATTCGACGCCGCCCGCTGAAGTCCGTGCAAGGTCGAATATGCGGTCAAAGCAGTAGAGAACGGCGGCACCGCAATTGGAATAAGATGCAAGGACGGCGTAGTGCTGGCCTTGGAGAAGCTGGTCACTAGCAAGCTGCTCAAGCCGGGAGCCAACAAGCGCATAGCAACGGTAGACCGGAACATTGGTGTTGTACGTCGAGCGACGGAGACCCCGTAGATGAACAAGGGATTGACGAGCTTCAAGGTTTCGGCGGGTCTATTACCAGACGGCAGACACTTCGTTTCACGGGCTCGCGACGAAGCGGCTTCCTGGCGACAAACATACAAGGCGCCGATCCCTACCGCGTCACTGGCAGATCGCATGGGCAGCTACGTCCAGGCACACACGCTCTATTCGAGCGTGCGACCGTTCGGTATGACGGCCATCATCGGAGGCTGGGACAGCGAAGCCGATCTAAAGGTGGACGGCGAGGTTGGATCGGGACCCAAAGTCCCCGGCGGCAAGAAGGCGGGTGGCAAGCGTGGAGGACCGTTCCTGTACATGATCGAGCCGAGCGGCTTGTATTGGGTACGGGTCTCATATCTACCGCTGCCGTGCTAGAATGCTAATTCTTACCAGGGCTACTACGGTGCCGCAACAGGCAAGGGTCGGCAGGCGGCAAAGGCAGAGCTTGAGAAGCTCGACCTTGCGTCAGGAAACCTAACACTAGAGCAAGGCGTGAAAGAGGCAGCCCGCATCATCTACGTCGCACATGAAGACAGCAAAGACAAAGACTTCGAGCTAGAAATGACATGGATCAGCTCGTTGGACGGTCCGACGAAAGGTCGACATGAAGAAGTGCCAGAAGAGATACGCAAGGAGGCGGAGCGGTTAGCAAAGAAGAGTATGGACGACGACGATGACGACGACGACGACGATGATGATGACGATGACGAAGATGACAAGAAAGACAAGATGGAAGAGTGAGCATCCTCGGTCGTCTCCAAAAGTTTAAGATCTTGTACACTACACCGGGCAAGGCGCATCACGCACAAAGCTTTGGGCGAGTACCATGGGACGGGGGGGGAAATCATAGCATGTAGAATTGAGCGTTTGGCGCTTTTTAGTTCGATCAATCAATGAACCGCCCAAATCTAGACCGCACGGCGTTTCTGTACCTAACTTATGCAAGCTGCACAGCTTATCACGGGATCTCGCGACCCGGGCTCCCGGATTCGTAGAGACCTTGCCTTGCTCGTTCAGTGGAGCCTCTGACTCTTTTAAAGTCCACGACATTCTCGGAACGTCACTTGGCTTCCTCTCTGTTCCAATCTTCCATACCACCTTTTATGCGCCCTCTGATTTTGGTCCTGTGTCTGCTCATGTACCCGTTCCAGCATCGTTGCCATGCGTGATACCCAATAGACAGTAGAACCGTCGACTTTTTTTGCAACCGCCTTTTTTTTCTTGGGCCTATTTCCTTCCAATGCGGACTCCGCGCTCCATCTACTCCTCTGACTAACTGGACTAACTGCTCGATCTACGTATCTTGCTGACCGCGGCACTATGCCACCGATTGTGATTTTGATCCGCCATGGCGAGGCGCAACACAACGTCACGAATAAGTCACGGCCCTTTTTCTTTTCAAATAAAAAAAATGAAAAATGAAACCCTGTTGCAACGCAACGTGCGTGGCTCCGCACCGGCTGACCGTCTGCCACAGGACTACAAGATCAGAGATCCGCCGCTCACGGATCTGGGTCACGAGCAGTGCAAGAAGCTGAATGCACATCTGAGGGACGAAGAGCCGCTGGCGGGCGACATCGAAGCGGTGATCTGCAGTCCGATGAAGAGGACGATCCAGACGATGATCGAAGGACTGGACTTCCTGCTCGCGGGCGAGGGAGAAGGCGGCGAGCGCAAGAAACCGAGCGTGGAATTCGATGCTCGCTGGCAAGGTACGTTTTGCCGTGTCAAATTTCGAACAGAAGATCTCCAGGCGTCCCGGTGCCATCTCCGACCTTTCGTTTCGCAAGGGGCGGGGCCCTTTCCCCCATTCTCTCTCTCTCTCTCTCTCTCTCTCTCTCTCTCTCTCTCTCTCTCTCTCTCTCTCTCTCGTCTCACTCTCACTCATATGTGCTGAACCGTCGCGGCAGAGAATTCAGACGCGCCGTGTGATACGGGCTCGCCCGTTTCCGCGCTCCAGGACGAGTTCCCGCAGTACCGAGAGGGGCTGTCGAGAGTGGACCCGGCCTGGCCGTCCAAGACGGGGCCGTACGCGTTCACGCGCACGGCGACGCTCGAGCGCGGCCAGGCCGTTCTGCAAGCTCTCTACTCCCGCCCCGAGAAGGTCGTCGCCGTGGTCTCGCACTCTGGCTTCTTGCGCACGGCCGTCAGCCAGTCGCACTACGCCAACGCGGACTACAGGGTCTTCGACTTCGAGGAGAAGATGGCGGGCAAGGAGTACAGGCTGATCGAAAGGGACGGGACGCGAGAGAAGGGCGGCGGGCTGGGGATGAGCTGGAAGGGATGGGCCAACGTGGAGGAGGGCGACTTCCCCGAAGAGATCACCAACGAGGCTAGGGAGGAGACTCCGCCGCCGGTGCCGGACGAGAGACTGGGAAGGGTCTGAGCCCATTCGAGTCGATCCCTTGATTTCAAGTCTGCTGCCGTCTGTAGTGGGATTGAGGTGTCGGACCTGAACGAAGCAGATCGCTCGTAGGGCGATTAGTTAGATCATCTTTAAGACTTCGACGTTCTTCTTCCCGCTCATGCAATGCACGCAAACGTGTCTGCGCCGTCCGGCAAATTGTGCCGCTCATGCTGCTTCTGAAGGGAAGACAACGAAAAGGAACGGATGGGTCCCATTTGCGCATTTCCGTGTGACATGGGGCCTCGTCAGACGAGCTGTGCGAAGTCGACTTGAGCCAGGACGACTGGTTCGAGACAATCACGGCCGCCAATGCGTCAACGGACTGGCGGGTAGATCATGCCAATCAACTTTGACAGCGCCGTGGCGTGCACGTCACGGAATCGGAGGGGAATGAAGTAGACTCCTCGACGTGGTCGCACTACAGCCTGTCTGAATTGGAGATGGCTTCACAGACAAGCTTGGTGCCCAGACGGGAAGGAGGCTCAAAAACGCGCTTTTTTTGTCCTTTATATATATATTTATGTATTCAATTAATTTTTTTTTTTAAAAAAAAAAAGGATCTTGTTCGCCACACGTATCTGCAGACATAGGTGCGGCTCTAACAGCCTGGATCGATGGCCCGCGGCCAAACCTCCCTTACAAACTCTTCCATGTCCTCGACGAACTGTGCGGGCTTCTCCATGGCGGCGAAGTGGCCCCCTTCGGCGTGCTCCCTTTGCCAGACGAGATTTCCCGTCTGAAGCGGGGATCAGGAATCAGCTTCGAAGCGCAACGGGGGAGGAGGGGCCACTTACTCTTGCGACGGCTTTTGGCGGAAGCGGCATGATCTCCTTTGGACACTTGGAGTATCCCAGCGGTTTCTTGACGTGGTAGGCTGGATCCGGATGGAACAGCTTCGGGGTCGGGCCGAAGAACTGTCGGTAGGGATATATGGACCTGGGAAACGTGTCTGTAAGCCAGTACAGCGTTGCGCTGTCTAAGATCTCCTCCGTTGGCGGCGTCTGGTCTGTCCACTGATGAAACTTTTCGCCGACCCAGGCGAGCAAGGCTATCGGGTTCGACGAGAGAACCAAGCCGATGGTGGCGGGCCGGGTGCCATGTTCACGGCCGTACGCAGTGCCCATGTACGCAAAATCGGACATGCGCTTGAGGTCGGCCGGATCCCATTCCTTGCTCTCCGCTTCGGACTCGGGCCCCACGCCGGACACCAGGTTGACTGTTCACGTCGGTCAGTTTCAAGCCAAGGCGAAAGGGATCCGCATTAGAACGACGCACGGTGAGCTGCTTTGCACGAAGGATGCTCGACGGCTAAAATCCTGGACAGGAAACTCCCCAGATCCCCCCCTTGAGCGATATATCCGTCCTCGAAGCCAAGGCCTACCATGAGTTGGTCCATCAACTTTGCCGCGTTCTCAAGACCAAAGTCTCTGTCCAGCGGCGGTCCGTTCGAATAGCCATAGCCAGGCAAGCTCGGGACAACCACGTGGACGGGTAACGTGTCCTCCGTGTACTTGTTCCTGAACTCGTCCAAAGCGGCGAGGAACTCCAAGAAGCTGCCGGGCCAGCCATGCATGGCGAGCAAGGGTACTGCGTCCGCTTTCTTAGAAAAGAGCGCAACGAAGTGAATTCGAAATTGGAACCCCCCATCTTCTATCTCGACGGTGTAATTGTTAAACGTGTTGATTCGGGCCTCCGTCTTTCTCCAGTCGTACCTGTTAAGCCACAGATCCTTCGCAGCTTCGAGCCAGTCGCGGGTGATGCCCCATCCTGCAAGATCTTTGACGTCCGAGACTTGATTTTCGTACGTCTTCGGGCCAATCCTGGAAGCTTTCAGCAAAGCCTTGAAATTTTCAAGCTCCTCATCCGAGACGTGAGCCTTGAATGGCTTTGGCTGGAGCTTAGCCTTGAGCGGTGTGGAATCGAAAGCCATTGTCTTGATGCAAGCAGCGTTCCGGGCTTGAAACAGCGGAATTTATACGAGCTTCGAACTCCATCTTTGCATAATGGCCGAGGCCAAACTCTCCGCTATACTGGAGTGAGAGGGGAGGGGTGTTGGATTGGGCCTTGCGCCCGCATTGCTTACCTAGACCGCACCATACTCAACTTGGAAGACGCAAGGCACGGGGATAGCTTTCGTTCAATCTGGGTGATCGAGAACGAGTGCTGCCGGACTCTTGAGATATCGATCCATTATCTATGCTATAACCAAGTTCGTCTCGTGCACGTCGGCTCCAGATCGGAAGAAACCCAATGTTCGTACGTTGACAAGTAGAGGACTTAGAATAGTCCTAGATCGAAAACATGAAGCGGCGATGTCAGATTGCAAAGCTGGCCATGAAAAATCGAAGCAGGACGTGGGGGAACAACAAGAGAAACAGAGATAATGATCACTCAAGCCAGAAGGATGGAGACTGCGCTTTTGCTGTGAATGCTAGGCGTTCCTCTTGAGTTAGCCAGCTCCCACAAGCATCCCGTTAGATGCGCTCTTTGTCAAACCTCGTACGGCGGTGTATTTATCCTGGCAAATGTCCGCGTCTCAAATGACACGAGCATATCAAACCACAGTTTCGACCTTTTTGCAAACGGCACGTCGTTTGGAACCACCCCCCCCTTTTCGGCGATACCTTGGGCGTGATCGCAGCCTTGTCCAGTCGACAGAAGTGAGGACGTCGAACAGCCTGACAAGCTAGCGAAGGCGCATCGCCGCAGTGGGAAGAACCGGTGAGAGGGCGTTCGGGAGCGGACAGGCGACGTGTCAGACATTAGGCCGTCGTGGCATCACGACGTGTGGAAGTCTTTGTTTTTGAGCGTCGAGGCTCGCAAGCTCTATGCGTCCTATTCCGACTTCACTACTCCGCCACCCTTGGCTGGCTGGCATTCAGCATGTCGGCGCGGCACGGTCTGTTTCGAGGGCTGGCGGGCCGTCAATACCGTCTCGAGGGCTGCCGCTTCAAGGCATGTGTCGAAAGAGCCTTCTCGCCTCGCAATCAGTGCTCTCTATGCTAGAGTAACAGGGTCTTCCTCTGAGGGCTCCAGACGCAGCCTTACTCTCGTCGTGAGTGTTGTTGACATGACTTAGCCTTAACGGATCGCTTCGGAATTGTCCACTCGTCAAATCGAGGGAGAACTGCAAACCCAATAACTTCTTGGTTGTGGTCGTCCTTGTGCCTCTAGTAAAAAAGTTAAGGGGGAAGTGGGTTATCGGACAGCATTCTCAAGTCATAGCAACGCTAGCCGCTGAAAGTACATGAGACGAAAGTAAGATGGACGACAAATAGTTGAATTAAAAAAGCCGATAGGCCGCTTGACCCAACGGCAGTTGACAGAAGTAGCAATTGAAGCATGTTCATTAATCTAATAGTAGTAATGATGATTATGGATCCGCGCCCTAATCGCTTTTGTCTGTACAGACATCACAGGAACGGCCACATAGCTCCAGCACAACGTGCGGCCTTTGGCCCGATCTAGGCCTTACTAGCAAGTATTACATGTCTTGCCTTTCCCCTTTTATCGCCATTCCTAAATATGTGAAATTTCCAGCCTCCAGATGCCGCGAGGCAGCATACGCTAGCAGAATCCCCATCAAACTCACAATGCTGGCGCAAAAATTCGCATTTGTAGAGAAGAAAAAAAAAACAGCACTGTACATGCCTCCTTACACGCGTGATAATCACAAGGGGCTACTTTAGTACCCCCTCATACCATTTCCATGGTGCTCGAATAGATCCTCCAAGTTTGCACTGGGTGCACGCTGCCCAGACGGAGCACCTCCAGGAACATTCAAATTGCTCCAGTTCTCCTGCACACCCATACCGCTCAGCCGATCATACCGGCCTCTGGTTGTGCCTTGCGTACCCAACGTTCCGCCCGTGCTCGGGCGGCCGAGACCCGGCGAGTCTGGTGGTGATGGCGCGCCTGTGGACGTGTAGTCTGCAGGTTGCGCATAGCCCCTGTTTGCAGGGTGATTTGGGTTCAGAGTCGAGAGACGCGCTGCGGTGCCACCAATAGAAGCATGCTTTGCTCCCGAAGCTGGAGAGGTTGATGTTGGCGGGGCGTAGTAGCCCGCAGGTAGGAAATTAGAGGAACGATTGGATGGGGACATGAGACCAGCAGGGTTGGTATGGTGTGCGCCGGCTCCCGCTGTTGGAGAGAAGAATAGCGAAGAATTTCTTGCAGCCGTCGAGCTGGCCTGTGGCCCAGCAGTGGAGCCAGTGTTGCGACCATGCGCTTTAGACAACTTGCCTGCTGGAGCAGAAAGGCGTTCAAGTGACAGTGTGCTGCCCATGGCTGCAGTACTCGTTGCGACACCAGGCTTTGCGAGCTTGAGCATGGAGTCGCTGTACGTGCCCGCTCCCAGCTGCGCACGCTTGACGCTGCGATGCAGACTCCAAGCAACCATACCGCGCCAGGCTAGCACAGCCGCGCCCAGAAAGCCTAGGAACGCGCCAACTACGATGAAAACCGTGCCCTCCGGGAGATTTGACGTTTGCATGTACGGAGCGCCTGCTGTCCAGGGGACTACTTGTGTGGGGATACCATAACCTGCAATCGTGGGCACTCCGGATAGGTGAAAGATGCTCGTGGAAATAGCTGGGGCGCTGGTAACGGAGACTGTTGACGCGGCACCGACAGAAGCGGCGGTTGAGAGGTTTGGCAGGTCCGAGACAGAGACAGATGTGGCATCGTTTGTGTTCTGAGTACCTGTTGCGCTGGTAGCTGTGGTGCCGGCGTCGGTGGCTGTAGTGCCCGAGTCGGTAGAGGTGTCCCCGGTAGCTTGCGTAGCTCCGTTTTGTGCGTAGGCAATCGCAGCGAGGGCGAGAAGTAGAGCAGATTGCCTGCTAGTGGAAGGCGAGTCCCGTAGTAATGAAGCCATTATTTAGCAAGACGTGTATGCTTGTATCTTATGTACAAGCGTTACAAATGAGATGTTTCGAGGTGTCGCAAAGAGATTGGTACGTGAAGGCCTGGAGACCGAGTGGGTCGTCTTTGCCCCGACTGCTATGCGAAAGTAGTAGTTAAGCAGGTGGTCGTCGTATTCAAGACGGAGGATGTCGTCTACAAACACGAGAGATGTGTGCAAGCCGTAGACGCGTGATCTCGCGGCACTGGATCTGCTGTAGTCGCTGCTTAGTGCGGCGGCAGCAGGAATCCCACGGCGTTAACCGGACGATGCAGTCGAATCTAACGGGCCTGGGTAGACGCCGACCAAGACTCACTCCTCTCACAGACGCCGCCGTCGTCTGGTGTTGTCGCAAGTGCCCCTTCTCTTGCCCGTGGGCCCTGGCTCTCCTTGCAAGCCGTGCTAGTTAATGCCGGCAAACGGAACAATGTTGTGGGTTTTTGTGTAGCGACTCTGGTCACCCGTGACACGGCAGACGAATTCGGCTGCAGAGTCGTCCGGGAACGGCGGGGGTTTTGTGACACGGAAGGAATGGGGAAGGACAAGTGATGTGTAGAGAGCGAGCGAGCGAGAGAGCGAGGGTGTATGAAAGAGGGTGAGGGTGAGATTGAGTGCAGGAGCCAGACCAGACCAAAGCCGGTGAGTCCAGGGCAGCGCGCGCCAACGGGAATCAGGGAAGAGGCTCAGCGTGCGCTAGCGTCGGAACCGGTCTAGCGCCAATGTGGCCACGGCAACCGGGGTTCGCTAGAAGCACAAGGTGGGTCCTATTTTTATGTCTGGCCGCCGAAACTTTTTCCTGGGGCTTCCTGCTGCTACGATCGACTTGACGCTGGGCAGAACTGAAGACTTGTCGGCCACGAGAAGTCCTGCATATCGCCTGAGCACAATTCTCGCTGCTGAAAAAAGGAGGGCACCATGGGCACGCAGAAGAAGACGCGCAAGTTCGCGGTAATGAAGCGGCTGATCTCCAAGCGCGACGACCGCTTGAAGCAGAACCAGGCCAAGCTGGCTGAACAGCAGAAGAAGCCTAAGCCGGGCGAAGAGGTTGTGCGCGCTGTACCCCAGGTGTCGTCTGCGCTGTTCTTCCAATGTACGGAGCTCGCTGTTCTTTTCACCGTCGTCGGACTCGCCCGTTGATCGAGTATACGCTGACTGAGGCTTGCAGACAACACGGCCTTGAAGCCTCCATATTCGGTCCTTGTAGACACCAACTTCCTCTCGCACACGGTGCACTACAAGCTAGACCTTCTCCAGACGATGATGACGTGCCTGTACGCGGAGTGCAGGCCCATCATCACCTCGTGCGTCATGGCCGAGCTCGAGAAGCTTCCGCAGCCCAAGTACCGCATTGCCCTTCGAATCGCTCGCGACGAGCGCTTTGAAAGGCTCGAGTGCGGCCACAAAGGCGTGTACGCTGATGACTGCCTCGTCGACCGCGTAGTGCGACACAAGATTTACATAGTCGCCACCAACGATCGGGATCTGAAAAGACGCATCAGAAAGGTTCCTGGCGTGCCCATCATGAGCGTAGCGAAGGGCAAGTACGTGATCGAACGACTGCCGGACGCACCGGAGAAGTGAGGGTGATGGCGTCGCACCTCCACGCCTCTTCTCCAGCAAAGGCATGTCCTGTAATACGGAAACAGAGGATGGACGCCTCGATGGAGCTTGCCCCGTTTGGGCGAGACAGACGTTGCCCAACACATGCTCGCGATACAGGTAGCCTTGGCATCCTCATTCTTTCCGGTCAGCCGTCAAGCGCAATGTGGAAGGACTCGTGCGTCGCTTATCTCGACTGTCATGGATCGCACGCAGCGATGATCTCCGGAACCGCAACGCGTACAGACACAGGGCAGCACGTACACGCATGCACGCTCCCGCAAGCCGGCCGAACGCATCGCACACATCGCCGCCAAGCATCACCCGACCTCGACGAGCTGCTGGCCTGCCTTCGCTCTTGCTCAGCGCACGACCAGGAAGGTGCAGGCTTGCGAGGCGATCCTTCCGGTTCGGTTATCGACACCGCATGCGGAAGGAATCATGACGAAGAGATGTCGTGCGCCTTGTCCACGCGCATCCTGCCAAGACTTCCGTATCGGCGGGAAGGTGCTGCCTTTTCCGAAATGTACGCCTGCCTCCTTCCTGGTAAAAAATGGCGTGTCGTCCCTTCCAGGTCGGAAGTTGCCGGCTCAGAAGTTGAGACGGCTGGATGGAGCGTGGTGAACGCAACGTGTCAAGAGTTCAGTCATCATCAACTCGGTGGGGGAAAGGGACTTTCGTTGGACTCTGCATCCAGGCGTGGAGTTCGGGGATTGAGGGTGTCATGGAAACAGTCCAGCTAGATTTTGATATCATACACTTTGGTAGTGACGGTGAACATTGCTTGTATATATCCCATCTCCACAGTGACGACAAAAAGAAAACAAGCAGTACAGAAGTACAGCGTTGACAGGTTGGCTGGCATATATCAGCGGGCGTGATTCGTTCTTCTTAAACAGCCATACAATCAGTGAAAATGTGCCATCGCCACATGGACAAGGTCCTTTTTCCCCTTCCAGCCTCGCATGTTCCAAAAATAAAAAGAAATGGAAAAAATAAATAAAAATAAAAGAAAAAGACATTCTTTCGTCTCCTTTTTAATACACGGTCAACAAAATTTATTTTTTAAAAAAAATAGGATGTCGTGGAATGTGGTCAAGACATCTTCGCTAGAGGTAAGAGAGCATCTCCGGCAGGCCGTCCAAGAGCGTCGCCAGGCCGGCGCCCGCGGCAATCTTGGTCAACGTCTGGGCCTTGCCTCCTCCACCGCTTCTCTTGTCCCTGTCACGAGAGCTCTTGCGCCAACTGGTCCCCCGCTCGTCGTACTCGCGCCCGCTGTCCCTTCTGCTCCGGCTCTTGGAGCGAGAAGACGAGCCGACGTAGCTGCTGCTCGTGTCGTCGTCCGAAGTGCTGCTGCCGCTGCTTGTCTTTCCGCGCGCCGAAGACGGGGACTCGTAGTCCCGCGCGCCGGAGTGCGTCTCGCGGAACTTGTTTCCGTACACGGGCGCCGTGTGCGAACGATCCAGCGGCGGCGGCGCTGGCGCGGAGGAGGCGGGCCCGCCGCGCGACGACCTCGGCGATCGTGTCGACGCTCTCGGATTGCGGATGCGCTCCGTCAACTCCACCAGGCGTTGGACCTGGTCTGGACGCAGGGCCCCCTCGATGCAGTAGCATTGATCCTCCTGCTTGCGACCGTTCACTACGCGCTCGCGCATGACGCGAGTGTATTCATAGCCGCGCTGCCGGATGGCCTCGCGACTGACGTACTCCTGGAAGATCTCCGTGATTGGCATCGTGTCCTTGGAAACCGTCTTAATAGCCGTGTGCGGAGACATCTTCGAGTTAGAGCCGATGAGATCAGCGTCTTCGTAGTCCCAGTACCATTGGTTTATTCGCAAGCGGTAAGGGATAGGGGCGAGCTTGGAAGCTTGCTTCGGAGATTGCGGTCGTGGGTCTGAGCCTGTTCCTTTGGCGCCACTTTGAGAGCGAGGTGCTGCGCTGAGGCCGTCGGAGAAACTGGCACGTGGTGAGGAGAGCGGTGAGGGTCCCGGAGACATATGCCGTCGGGAGCCATTGGCGACATGTTGGGGAAAGTAGCCGCCCGAGGTTGGACCCCATGACTTTGAGGACTGAGGCGAGAATGGTGGGCCATGTGGCTGCAAAGAAGAGGGCCGTGGACCGGCAGGAATAGGAGAAGGCATTGTACGTTCTTCGTCGATATGCATCAGTACGGGGTCGTCGGTCGTCAAACGAAGCGTTGGTGGCGGGCCCCTCCTGTCGTAAGCCTCAGTTTCCCAGTCCGACTCTACCGCTGGGGCCTGCCAATTACGACGCTCGAACTTCTCACGTCTAGGTTCCTCGCGTGGTCTCTCGTTGAGGCGCAGACGCTCTTCGACCGTGTTTATCCTCGTCCATCGTGAAAGCAAAAGATCCACGTAAGGCGACGAGACCATTCGAACCTTCGGAAGATCGTCTGCTTCGTTGGCGGACAGTGGAGTCTGTGCTAGAGTCGGCTCTTGGTAGAGAACAAGTGCTCTTGGGTTAGGGCCATGCTCGTCTCGTCTGATGAGTGCCTGTGACTTTGGGCTCTGACAAAGTAAAGGAGCGTTGGCGATGTGCCGCTTGAATGATTCGTACGTTCGGTAGGCTCTGAGCAGAGCAAGCTGTTGCTCGACGACCAAAATCTCCATCTGTGACTTTTCGACGACAACAGCATCGCTTGCAGTCTGATTTCTTTCATAGCTGTGCTGTGTTAATTTTCAAAGCAGCTTCCACGACAAGGGTTACGTACTTGGACCAGATGATGGACTTGGCCGTGTAAAGTGTCTGTAGCATAACCGACATTGTGAACCTCAGCGCTTCGAGATGCGCCAGTAAGTACTTGGCTCTTGCTTGAGATAGAACGTTCCATTCAACGTCCTCACGCCACGGAGACATCGAGCCCGTGGTACTGGACAGCGCCGACCCATCTTGACTATTCTGCCGCGACGGATTCAGCGGCACCAGAGACTCTACCTCTCTGAAAACATCCTGGCACTGATCCAAAGTCTGTCTGACAGTGTTGAAGGCCTCTTGAGAGGGTAAAGATCCGTCTTCTTTCAGGCGAGAACCGATCTGTCTAAGAACCTGGGACAGCAGGTTGACTTCCTTGGCCAGTCGATTGACATCCTCGCTCGCGGGCGCAGCTGATTGCGCGGCCGAGAAGTCGTACAGGCCGAACGTCAATCTGGTGCCCCAGGCTACAATCGAAAGGACCGTGGTGACCGAGTCGTTCGCCATAGGAGGGCGGTCTTGATTCTCCACGAGGCACAGGCAAGATAAAAGAGCTTGGAGGGCTCGCTGGACGACCCCTTATCTTAATACCAAGTGTTGCTGTTTCTGATACGCTGACGGCTGCCAGCCTTGCAAGTGCGACCAACTTGAGCCGGTGATTGGGGCGGGGTGTGAGAAGCGATTAGACAGACAAGAGGAGGAACATGGCTCCTGTTCCGCGCCCACGCTGAAAAGCAGAATGGCACGGCGCCGTTTTGCATAGCTCCGATGAAGAGGCCACTCAGCGGATCGGCCCTCACTGCACTTGCAATTCGCCAGACCGGTGGCTCGGTGAACAAGTATGCTGCGGCACAGTCGGGACAGGATTGGCGCGTTCTTCGACTACCGGGGTTCTGTGGAGAGCCTTTTCGCTTGCGTCATGCTGCGAACATGTAGGACCTGCGTTTTGCGATGTCCCAGAGCAGTCATTTGCCGCTTGTGTTGCTGAGCGAACGATTCCAGTGCGCGGCGTGGATTGCGATATATAACACGCAAGGACGGCGCTGGGAGTCATCGACGTGGCACTGCTTTTTGCAGCTGGCGAGCGTCGAGACAGCGCCGAAGACGTGTTGCCATACCCCTCATGGCGAAGGCAGCAAGAGTGGACCGCATGACTTGCATCGTCGGCGGCACAGCCTCTACGCCCGTCGACCATTATCGTCGATCGTATTTGACCGGAGAGGGCCGTAAAACACGCTTTCTGCAATTACGAAGCAATCCATCGTGTGCCTGGAGGCGATGGTCATTGGTTGCACCGGCTTTGCAGTCGTCGTACACGAAGCGTCTCCCGCCATGTTCGCCAGGCATCTGGAGCAACGTCGGTCGCATGCAGAGTGCCTCACTGGGAGCTTGAGAGAGCCCCGGCAGCGTGGTTTGTGAGCAATCTTGTGCGCAGAAAGCCGTGATTCCAGCACTTGCGTTTCCGTCGCCTCTGGAAGCCAGTCACGATCTCCGCCTGTGCACGATGAAGGCCACTCGTTATTCCAGCACACATCTGAGAGCGCGGGGCTTTCGGTCAAGAAGTACAAGACGCCAGCATATTCGCCTTCCAGCTTCATATTTCCATCTTTGACGACTCGTGCACGGCGACACGGTCAGCCCCGTTGGCATCTTACGGTGGTGAGCTGGGTAGTGACCGCGCATTCCACGTGATCGCGGCTGATGTAGGGCACTCTGCCTGCAAGCCGACTGTCGGTAGGTGGTGAGAAATGAGGGAATAGTTGCATGCGACGACAGTTTCACCAAGCCTGTGCTGTATTCCTCCTGGTTCGTTTCCTTGAGGAAACGTCATTGCAGGACGGAGGCCTTGCGAGAACAGGCTGTTGCAGCGTCGACGGCAATTTAACGTATTTTGAAACAACCAGAACAAGCCGGTTAGCGTTATCACCGAACACCATGACGCTCCGATACTCCTGAATCTTCTCATGTACATGATGTCCTGCGGTTGAACTGAATGAAGGAGGCCCACGGCATGCTCGTCGATTGATCACGGCTGCAGGCCAGCACGCTAGCCATTTTGGGTCGCTGATTCTCCCTGATCTGAGCATTTTGTTTCCACGCTACGTCAGTGCTTCAGGCAACGTTGGTACATGCTTCCTCCAAGCAACAATTCTTGACGACTTGTAAGGCGCTCACGATGCGGACGTAAGTTAAAAAAATGCCTTGAATACGGGTAGTCGAGCTGAAATAAGTCTTTCGCCAGTCTACGCCGCGATGCGCTGGAACGCCTGGCAAAACTGTCTGCCAGCTCACCCAACGCTGCGAAGCAGACAGACATAGCTCGTCTGTGCAAGAGATGCCCGGGCACACGGCCGCGGGTCAATGGAACGAATAGTGGAAGGACTTCGCGAGCCTCGAATGCCGCTTCCGCAGCTGTTGCGCGGGTTCCGATGGTATGCTCTCACGCTGCTCATTTTCGCCATTTCTGGGGGGAACACATGAACTGAATCGCGAGTGACAGAGCTTGCCGGAGATCGAGGCACTACTAGCACTATGTAAAGCGGCTCCCTTGGTTACCAACAAGGAGATTGCTGCACAGCTGCTGCCGCAATTGACGTCGTACTTGCCCGAAGTACATTTTCAAATGCTCATGCCACCACTGGCGTCGCCCGACCTCGAACCTTCGCCGTGGGAGCCGCTTACGTACAACTTGGCCGCTGCTGTCCTTGCGCTTGGACTGAATCACTCGTTCCTGCGGCAGCATGCGCAGTCCAGCATTAGCCGCTATATCACCAGCTGGGCGGAGGCTGCTGAATCACTGGGTTCAGAAAGACTGGACCCCGAGGAAGACGATGATGACACGGCAAGCGAGCCCATAGCAAGGATGGTTAAGATGTCCGTCTCCATGCTTGGGTTCCTGAAGGCCGCCACCGAATATGCGCGCTTCTGGGCACCACTAGACCGCATAAAGGTGATTCGAATGCTTCGGGAGGCGCTTTCGGAAAAGTTCATGATCGCGCTCGAGACGGCTCTCTCGATTATGCGCAACTCCAGGCAGAGCGAAGCATTGTTTCCGTGGAGAACATATGCAAAGCGCTACGCTGCAAATGGTCGACCACTTGGCGCCATGCTCTTGAGGCAAGAGTATATGCAATTCATGGTGACAAGTACGGCGTTATATCTAGTCTCATATGAGCGACTCAAGAGCAAAGACATTGTGGACATTCTTCTTGAAGAAAAGACAGCTCCTCAAGCCATTCCCGGAGCCGAGGCAATTCCAGTCGAAGATTTAGCAGAGGTTGCAGCAAACGAATGGCAGTCATTGGAAGAAGGTTCAGACTATCTTAAGTTAGGCTCTGCGTGGCAGCAGCGTCTTGCTTCGGCGCTCAAAGCAAGCGCGCTGAAGTGTTTTTTGTGCTGCACCATCTTGGATGAAGAGGTGGCCGAGGCCGATCTGTTGCTCACTTGGCTCGAAGGCATCATGTCTGATCAAGTACAAATTGCTGACGAGCAGCTTGCATCCGTTGTTTTCAAAAGCATGGCGATCCTCGCCAAATCGTCTTCAACAATCGCCACGGAGATGGTAAAGACGCTTCCAAGGATCATTGTACAGGGTGGACTCGATAGTAAGACTGCATCTGTTGCTGCCCAGTGCCTAGCCACTGTACTCAAGAAGCTACCACAAGATGCCACCATCACGACCTTGTACGGACTCGGGAATCTGCTCAGTGTTCCAGGCGCTGGACCAGACCGCACCATGAATGGCTCGCCGATGCTTGATGGTACTGTTAATTCACGACCCAAAACAAATGGCGACTTGTACGCCGAACATGCAGGAGCTAGCGTGATCTCTTTTGGCCCTTCAGATGGAGACGAGTCCCAATTAATCTACGGTGCGATCATTGAGGCTTTGGTCTGTGTCGCAGCCACACGAAAGGAAGAGAAGATCGTGGGCCTCGTGCTTAATATTTTGACTCAAAAACTACGGCGCATATCGCTCGAAGTGGACACCAAAATTGTCACCGAGACGGCCATTCTTGGAGAATACTGCTCGGAGAACGATCTCAAAGCTATTCTGAGAATTCACACCAAACTCTGCCGTGACGCACTAGAGGAGGGCAATGGAGCTATGGTTGATGCTGTCCTGCAGGCTCGTCTGCATCTCTCGCGTACCATCAAGCGAAGTTCTGACAATTTCGAAATTTATGTCCTCTACCTTCTCAACTCTATGGTCAGTAAGGGAGACGCTCAGGAGCGCTCGAGCTCGGAACGCAAAGCGGACGTTGAGCTTGCAGCGCAAGAAATCGCCCAGCTTCTCCAACCCATCGCTGCTCTGACGCTTGAGAATGCACAGTCTGAAGATGCCGTCAAGGATGTAGAAATCGACGGCTTGGTGGCCTTGCAAAGAGACGCGTGGTTTAACGCTGTAGTACATGGCTTCACGGCCACTTCTCCACTTGGCAAGCGATATCGACGAGAAATGCGCGTTCTTGCGAAGTACAGCCAGCCGCTGATTGCTGAAGATCGCACTGACCAACTCGAAAGCGACATTGAACTTAACACGACCTTGCGTCGCGGTAAGAGCGACAGCAATCTGGGATATCTCCGAAAGCACCTTGCAGAGGTAATCCCCAGCTGTGATTCTGAGATTCGAAGTCTAGGATATTCAGAGTGCGTTTTTCTCACGGCCGCTTACCTGGTCGAGAGTCTCAGAGCCAGCGCAGGCGACTGTAGTCACGTCCTGACATATTTCCTGGACCCTCGACTGAAGTATGGCCCGATGGGCACCTGTATGCAAGCGATCGCGCGGTCGGTCGTGGGCATCTATCTCAATCGAACAGCAACAGGTCAGATCCAGCTGTTTAGCTCTCCATATGTGGCGAAACAGCTGGCTTTGTTCTTTACAGGCGCTTGCCACCGTATCGCGGAGGTTCAGCGCGTTGCCGTCTTGGCTGCGGAGACGATTGTTGCCCAAGTTCCGTCAAGTCTCTGCCAGAGGTCCTCATTGTTCGCCCTGTTCGAGCTTTTAACCATTATGTGGAAGAGTTGTTTGGAGCAGGAGACGGACGAGTATGAATGGACGTCGAGACATCATTCCAAGAGGGGCAATGTGACCGTTGAGCTGTCAGACAACTACGAATTCCGTCGAAGGACTATGATCAACCTTCACAAGTGGGCCAAAATTTGGATGGAGCGCGTTCTAGACATTGCACCCTTGGACATTAAAGGTTTGATCCAGACATACCTCTCTGAGTATGAGGACGATGGCGCGTACGGCCACATATCCCTTGGCAGATCCTTTGCATTAGAAATGGGTGGGGTCATTCCTTCTACCGACCTCCGACTTGGCGCCATAGAGAATTCAGCTATCGGTATCAACACTGCGTCAGACTTCGTTGCACAATATACAACTCGACAAGAATATAGATTCGTTGGTGGCATTAAAGATGATGATCAAGAGTGGGTGCCTTCTGGTGCAGATGGCGACCTACTCATGCGTGAAGACTCAAGGTTTGACAAGACCATGAATGATGCTGGAGCGTTGCTTGCGGACATCGAGAGCCGTACGTTGAATCACAAGGTGGTTCCCATCGCAGAACTGCGCGACGCATTGCGTCGAGCAGGCGCACTTTTATGCCGAACACAGAAAGACCAGGGCGCCATTGTCCAGCACCTTGTTGGCATACCGTTCTCAGTCTTTACAAAGCAATCAATCAAGTTGGGCATATCCCTGTGGATGGGCGTAATCAAGGAGAACGCTCGAATGGAATCTCGCATTTTTATCGAGATTGCACGCAACTGGGAGCAAACGGTTCTCCATCGGCGCGGCCTTTTCGACCGTCGACTGCACCACTACGATCCATTCAATGTTAAACAGGAGTTTGCGCCTTCCGATAGGCAACTTATCGTCAGCCGCCAACATGCGGCGATAGATCTAATCGCGCCACATCTTCGCGTTGCGCAGTTTCTGTCGAGCCATTTCAACGCCACCAGGCTTGGTAGCCCTTATATACAGCGAGCGTATTACAGACTGATGATCATAACCCTTGATGCACTGTCAGAAACAATGAGCCACCCCCTGGCCCGAGAGGCTCATTTCTACATTGTTCTTCTTGGCCTCCGAATTCTGCGATTTAGCACTGGACTTGACATGACTATTTTGTGGCGTCTCAAAGATCGCCTAATTACCGCAGCGCTAGCATGGTTTGCAAATCCTCCTCGGTGGTCATATGGCGGCAATAGGCTCCAGATCAAGGCCGAGCAACATCTTCTTGGAGACATTCAGACAGCACTTGCTAAAGTCGATAAAATCGGTCAGGACCAGGTGGGATCACGCAAATCGCTCAGTGCAAAAGTCACTCTGCTCCAAATCCTACTCAGTGACGAAATATCCCGCTTGATGGTCTGGCTGTTCCCCCTGGACAGCGAGAAGAAACACCTGCTTCGAGGGCAACACCATCATACTTCTGTCCCTGACTCCACATTTCTTCAGGCAGTTAAGACTGCATGGACCGAAAATCCGTCATTAGCGATCCAGCTCTGTCAAAGATTTGGGTCGCGGGCCGTGCACAACGAAGTACGCTTCTTGCTTCTCAACTTCCCCCATAAGGCGTTGAACGAACCAGATGCGGTGGAACTATTGCTTGGTCCTTCAATGCCGACCGACGTCTCCTTCCAGCTTAAATATCTGCTCTACTGGGCACCCGTAAACCCAATAACAGCTGTCACATATTTCCTACCGGCTTACGGAAACCATCCATTTGTCATTCAATACGCGAATCGTGCACTTGACAGTCACTCCGTCAACGTGACATTCTTTTATGTGCCACAGATTGTGCAAGCACTACGTTACGATGTGCTTGGCTATGTCGAGAGATATATTATTGAAGCAGCCAAATTCTCACAGCTTTTCGCACATCAGATCATATGGAATATGAAGGCCAATTCATACAAGGACGAAGATTCTCAAGTAGTGAGTTCACCTTTGTATCCCTTTCTTGGTACTTACTACTAACGAAACATCAGCCCGATGGCATGAAGCCCACACTCGACAAAGTAATGGACAGGCTCATCGCCAGCTTCTCTCCTGAAGATAAGAACTTCTACGAAAGAGAGTTCTCTTTCTTCAACGAGGTCACGAGCATATCCGGCAAGCTCAAGCCGCTGATTAAGAAAAGCAAACCGGAAAAGAAAGCTAAAATCGAGGAAGAGCTGCGAAAGATCCAGGTAGACGTTGGTGTCTACCTGCCAAGCAACCCTGACGGCGTCGTTGTTGGCATCGACCGAAAGTCTGGGAAGCCTCTGCAAAGCCATGCAAAAGCTCCGTACATGGCTACGTTCCGCATTCGGAAGGACAAAGCCGTTCAGGGTGACAACGAGCAGGAACTAGTCGAAGCTAGCGAGAGGGCCGACAAGAAGCATAGCTACGAAGTGTGGCAGTCGGCCATCTTTAAGGTCGGCGACGACTGTCGCCAGGATGTGTTGGCTTTGCAGCTCATCGCCGCTTTCCGCGGCATTTTCCACAATGTGGGTCTAGATGTCTATGTCTTTCCGTACCGTGTCACGGCCACGGCGCCAGGATGCGGCGTTATCGACGTGTTGCCCAATTCCATCTCAAGGGACATGTTGGGACGAGAGGCAGTCAATGGCCTTTACGACTATTTCGTGTCGAAGTATGGCGGCGAGGACTCAATCAGATTCCAAGAGGCCCGCAACAACTTCGTCAAAAGCATGGCTGCATACAGCGTTATCTCATACCTGCTGCAGTTCAAAGACCGGCACAACGGCAACATCATGATTGATGACGCGGGCCACATCCTGCATATTGACTTCGGGTTCTGCTTCGACATCGTTCCCGGTGGAGTCAAATTCGAGCAGGCGCCATTCAAGCTGACGAGTGAGATGGTCGCAGTGATGGGCGGACCGCATGCACAAGCTTACCAATGGTTCGAAGAGCTGTGCATCAAGGCTTTTTTGGCTTCGCGCCCCTACTGCGAACACCTAGCTCATATGGTCATCACCATGTTGGACAGCGGGCTGCCCTGCTTCAAGCCACAAACGATGCAGAACTTTAGGAATAGGTTCGCGCTTGATAAGAGCGAAAGAGAGGCCGCTGATGTGATGAAGGGGCTGATCAAGAAGAGCTACAGTAGCTTGACTACCAAGGGCTACGATCAGTTTCAATTATTAACGAATGGTATACCGTACTAGGAGGCAGTTGGGCCCTGCAGGAGCGTGAGTGCGAGGCGAGTAGTTTATACAGTAATTCCCATCCAATTATTGTTCATGCACCACTTGGGCGCACACCTAAGCGCTCGCAAGGCTTATCTGGGGCTTTTGTTCTTTCGTGCCGAGAAATTCGCAGTCGTTCTACAGTGCACACGCATTTTTGTCAAATGTTCCATCGCTGAAATTGAGAGCGGTTTTGCATTGGGTGAAAGCCTAGGCTTTTATGTTGCAGTCTGTCAGGATCGCAGTGTCAGCCGTCGTCTATGCCGATCACGGCATTGCTCGTTGCCTTCTCGTGCACCACAACCACGGGGTTTTTGGCTTCGACACGCCGACTGTGGAGAGGCCGAGGTTGTCCGCGTCAGGAAGCTTCCCCACAAGTCGGCTCAGGGCAAAGATTCCCCTATGCGAAGACATGTATATACCCGCAAGTAAGCATGTCAAAGCTGTCTTTTCTTCTTTATCTTCTTGCGAGGCATTCTCTACCCGAGTCCAATCACTTCTCGCCCTCCAAGCCTCGTTGACCTTCCCACATCTTGTCATTCCGACGACAAGCCCCAGCGAATCCTTCTGCATATAACACAACATGACTCCGTCGCTGCAAACGCCGCTGTCCCAGCTACTGGGCATCAAGTACCCCATTATCCTTGCGGGTATGGCGCGTACATCCGGTGGCCCTCTTGCTGCGGCCGTCAGCAACGCCGGCGGTTTGGGTGTCATTGGCGGTCTCGGCTACACGCCTAAGCAGCTGCAAGAGATCATCGACGAGCTCAAGGAAAACCTGACGGACAAGAGCCTCCCATTCGGCGTCGACTTGGCCCTACCTCAAGTCGGCGGTGGTGCAAGAAAGACCAACCACGACTACACTCACGGCCAGTTGGACGAGCTGATCGAGGTCACAATCAAGAACGGCGCAAAGCTTTTTGTCAGCGCCGTCGGCGTTCCACCGAAGAGGACGATCGACAGACTTCACGAGGCGGGTATCCTAGTGATGAATATGGTTGGCGCACCAAAGCACGCCGTCAAGGCTCTCGAGAGGGGCGTGGACATTGTTTGCGCTCAGGGTGGTGAGGGAGGTGGCCACACCGGCGACATTGCCAACAGCATTCTCATCCCTGCTGTTGTCGATGTTGCTAAGCGCTACAAGAGCCCTCTCACCGGCAAACCTGCCATGGTCGTCGCCGCCGGCGGCATCTTCGATGGACGCAGCTTGGCCAGCAGCTTGATGCAAGGTGCTCAGGGCGTGTGGGTCGGAACTCGCTTCGTCGCTAGCGTGGAAGCGGGCTGCTCGAAGCTCCACAAGGAAGCTGTCGTCTCCGCTGACTTCACCGACACCGCCCGTACGCTTGTCGTGTCAGGGCGGCCTCTCCGTGTCAAGGTGAACGATTACATCAGAAGTTGGGAGAGCCGGCCGGAGGAGATGCAGAAGCTGCTAGATGCAGGTATTGTTCCTATTGCGAAGGACATGGAGGAGGAGAAGGAGATTGACATGCCTTTCTTGATGGGTCAGGTCTCTGGTGTTATCAAGGACATCAAGCCAGCTGGACAGATCGTGAGGGAGATGGTAACGGAAGCCGTGGAACAGCTAAAACTTGGCCAGACGTATATCAGCGCAGAGAGCAAGCTATAGTGGAAAGTCTTTGTTTACTTGTATACTCCTACCATTGAGCGAATTGAGCATGTTTCTTGAGTTGATCATAAACCATGTGGAACCTGTTTCTTGCATAAAATGGCCAAATTTAACTCCCTGAGACCAGATGTGTGCAGTGAAAATTGATGATTACAACGAAATCCCTCTTCGTTGGCCGCCGTTGCCACTTCTGAAGACGAGGCGCTTCGCGCTTCTTGTACGGCGGGCTGCCTTCAAGCCTCCTGCTCCGACCGTCTTGACCATTGAACCATACGCTTCATATGCGTCCACTCTCTCCTTTGAGCATGAAACAGCACTGAAATAACCAGTTCCTCGCGGTGGTCCGTCTAGCCATGATGTTGAGGTTGCTGGCACGCGAGCAGGCGTCACCGTGCCGCGCGCTTGCGCGGCTTCATGCATCGGCGCGAGCTCGATCAACGACGTCTCAACCAACAACAACAGCTCGAAGTCTAACGTTTGAGACCACAAGCTTTCGGGAAGCCGCCGCATAGCGAAATGCGAGGTTTAAAGGCTCACCTCGAAGCAGACTGAGAGATCGAACCAGAAATCCTCTTTGCTTATCACGCGCCTAGCTTTTCTCCTCTTCGAGATTGTTCCCACTGCTCTTGATCAATACCAAGGTCAGAGCGGATAGGTTCAAGGACACGTAACGCTGTTAGCACCGGAATAGCTTTGTGGGAGAGATAAAAGATATATGCATCCGTAGGACGAAGCTGCGGCGTCCCAGTCTAAGCGCCGTGATCAATCCACGCGAGATCGGTTGGAAATCACAAAAGGTGGCCTAGTTTTTGGCCCCTCTAAAAAGCCGCTACCCTGTGGAATTTGGCGAAGTATTTCCTCGAGTCTTGGATTCAGCCTTCGATGATTCCTTTATGGTTGGCCAGTCAGAACGTAGCCATAGTCTGGCCGTCACACGGGCCAAATTACATGGACTCATTCCCTGGACTCATTCCCTGGACCGAACCGCCGTCGGCTAGACTGAGTGACGAAATGCTACACTTCCTGAGTTCTTGGGTTTTGTGGACGGCCGGTGGCGTCGAGGATGCCCTCATCCACGTTGCTCACGCATCATACGGAAACTGAGGTGAACTCTGAAGTTATGGGAAATCTCGTGAGGCCAAAACTCGCTCACGTCGCCATCGGGTAGTAAGATTCCACTTTAAGGATATATGAAATCGGTCTTATATATTGCATGTGCGGTTCAAAAATGCTCCTCGAATCCTTCGTCGCTAGTCTCACGGGTCTACTGGTAACCACACCGATGGTACCACGGCTAATTCTCCGGCCTCCGGCCTCGCCGACTGATACATCCTGACTGCTCACGATTTCGTGCCGTGGAGATAGCAAATGCTTTGCCGAAACAGGCCCTGAGGAGCAAGTGGCCATCTCAAATACTTCGAACCCAACAAAACTCTTGCTGATTGAGCAGCCAACACTGTTGTCACTGCTGCGATTCCCATACCGACGCGGGCTTGTGCTCCTGCATACCCACGCGAAAATGGCTTCTCCCCCAATTGGCTTGTCTTGCTGCAGGCCAACATCGCCTTTCCATGTCGCTGCCATGGCATGAGAAGCTCGGCAATGGCGGAGACCCCACGCATGTCGAAATAAACTCAACACGCCTGTCTATCCAGACTTGACCCTTCTGAGCGTTGGTTGTTGCAGCCCAATCACACTACGAATTTGTCATCGGCCCGCTGTTGCGACTGAAGGAAGCCCACCATACTTGCGCTGTCCGGGATAAGCCCCGGCGGAGGAAGCATTCCTTGCCCATGCATGAGTTTCTCCTCGTCTGCCATGAGTCGTCAATTTAGAACGCAGGTAAGATGGGGCGGGCCGCAACCACCAAAGCTCTAATTACATCACAGAAGGACTCTTGCGGATTGTGCGGGGCCAAGGATCGCGATGATGATCACGTCCAGCTCTATCTCCACCAGTACGGTCGTTAGCGGTATGTTCGCGGCACAAACCCCGTATTTAACAACATCGTAACACGTGTGTTGCTCTGGACGCATTTGGCTTGTTCTCTCGGGTTGGATACAGGCCTGCTCGCGACCTAAATCCCGATTGTTGGCTTATTTCACCCACAATATCATTCGGTTTGGGGGCAATTGTCCTACAGTTTTCTGGCAAATAAATCACCTGCATGCAGGGCTTTTCAGGCTACAGGGCCCTGTTGAAAAAAGATTGCTGTGTACGCAATCTCCACCCTGAGATAAGAGGTCAAACGTTTCTTTGGCTACGCAGAACGAGTCGCATCCGTACCCCGGAGGCTTGCATTCGCCTGCACCAAGCTTCGGTCAAGTGATCACAGCGAGAGCCATGATTTGCTAGTTGTAAAAGATTTTCCCGCAAGTCTTGGACGCCGACTGGCCAGCGGAGACCTTCTTTTCAGGCCTGAGGACACCTGCGGACGAAACAAGTCGCTTTTGCTGCGCATTCTGCCTAATTTACCCGTTCCCGCTCTTTTCTGCTCACATTTAGGAATTTTCTGCATTAATTGAACAAAAATCAATCGCTGTGAGAGGCTGCTTTTTCGACGAAAAGGGTAGTCGGCGGCTATTTCATTGGTGCAAAACTTTTCTTGGCAAGACAGCCTAACTCAGCCTGGGACTGTTAGACCCGCTTCGCTATCATAATGCTTTCTCACCAGGAACTTTTGATATTTGATGAATATTCTCAGGTCGCAGAAATGGCCACTTCTTCTGCAAGACGGATGTTCAGGCAAACGCTGCTGCAACAAGGGCCGAACGCCCTACTCTAGCCTCGCATGGTAGATCTAGTCATGCGATCGACTGAATGAGTTGGAGAACAGCCCAATCGGTACCCTTAGCAATTTTCAGCTCGTAAAAGCTTTCGTTGGCATGATTGCTTCTGCTTGGTGTGGTCCACATTGGTGGCGATATACCACGCTTCGAATACGCTAATCTTGCAGGCGCATTACATCGAAGCCAGCCGGTAGCGGCCAGTAGACTAGGACATTGTCTTCTCCAAGATATCAGTGGTTTCCATACCACCGGTTGCAAGCAACAAACTTCACTCCCCGTTTTCGTCCTCGTTGAGCGGATATGGCCGACGTAGAGGCTCTCCCGTCCCCTCTTTCTAGGGTCGCCCCTCATGCTAGCTCCCGGATGATTTGGTGACCAACATAACCCCTTGATTGTCATGGTATATATGACTGAATTGAGCGAAGATGTTCTTACCAATATCTCAAAGGCGCTCTCGGTAGCTCTGGGGTTGAAAAGTCTCTCAGCGCATGCCTGGAGTTACATAGACGCGACCGATGGTATTTAGGAGGCACTTTGCTTTTCTGTCTAAATTTTTGGAATCACTGCTGAGCGCAAGGCTTCCGATCTTTCCCCATCACAGTCACAAATTCATTTCCCTATGTTCCAAGAGCAGCGATACCCTTCCAGCTCGATGGCGTTGCAATTCTCTAGCCAGCGAATGTCCCGCAGGGACACAACGATCGACTATACAATGCTACCATCTGATGATATACATACAGAAACCGCGGCTAGGAAAGGTGTTGTGAACAAATACATCACGCTCAAGAAAGTGTTGCCATCAGAGACTGGAGACGCATTGAGTTTCATCCTGCAAGAGGAGATCATTGTGGAAATAGGAGAGACCGACAATACAAGAGAAGGTCATGACTGCTCGTGTGCTGACTATAGCCCGAAATCCCCATGCTCTGTGCGTCGTCGCCCCTGAATTGGCTGATACGAGACTAACGGAGATATTTTCAAGCATGTATTCTGGGCCGTAGACCAAATTTTACGATCACAGGCTGGACAAAATACTGCTGTTACCTTGAGCAGTGATGAAGGAATACTAAGAGTGTCCGATTTATCCGGGCTGACCTTCGATCCGACGGAATTTCCACCCGGAATCGACACGACACATCTGCAGAATGTCGGTCAGGAGCATACGGACTTAAAGCTTCGCTTCAAGGCCACTCTAGAGAGAGAAGAACACAAACTCTATGTCATATTGACAAGACTCAGCAACAGAAATTATGTTGATCTTGATGTAGTTGGAGTAAGGCCATGCTCTGCAAGCCACGCGCACGCCGCGATTTCCGTCTCAGCATCGAACATCTTTAGATCTTACTATGCTTACGATGAATTCCTCCGGTGGAGCGGTGCCCCAATCAGCGAGATCAATGCAGCCGCAGCCAGGGCAACCAAAACATATCTGCTCATGATAAAAGAGGTGGTGGTGAGAGCGGATCCGAACGGGCTTAGGCGTGTTGCTTCAACGGCGTACTACAATGAAGCTGGCGAGGATTGTTTCTGGTACCATGTCAACCGGTTTTTCAGACACACACGGGGTCCTGTTGGTAACGACGAAGCTGAGGCTCTGGAGACTCTGCTCACATTTGTTTTGGGTCCTACTTCGACACACTCTTGGTATCCAAGACCCACGCCAGCCGATGAGCATGTGATTCAAGCGATGGAAAGTTGGCTGGGTCGGTGAATAACTATGAATCTTCGGTGCGAAAATGTATTTCTCGGTGTATGGTAGACTTTTAAGGGCATCACTGTCAAATAATTTTTTTTAAAAAAAAAATTGATCACAAATGAACGTGTCCTCTCATTCCAAGGCCTAGACTGATCATTACGAAAAATGAAGGGTAGTCAAGTACTCGACTCTATCAGATTGTCTAGGGAGCAAGATGCGATGCAGAGATTAAGCGTGGCACAAGCCCTCATCCAACAAACTTCCACTAGGCCTCCCACAAAGCCACTGCACATGCCATGGCTTGACTGCACGCCTTGTCAAGGCCATATCGCCTGTTATTCTGCCTCATCCAGCTCTATCAATCCTTTCCCGCACTTACGCTGAGGCGTCAAGCGCCAGGGAGAGGCAGACTCGTCAGCGGGTCAAACCTAGGCCAGCACGGCAGTATCGCGTCTGAGGATCACAAAACGACGGGAGGACCGAAAAAAAAAAAAAACGAAAGAAAAAGAAAAAGAAAAAGAATTTGAAATTCTGTCCTCCCAAGCTTAGTCCGCCTCTGGGATCGCCACGTCTCCGGCGGGGCAGCTCTGAACAAAATGGGAGGCGGTCCGCCCGATCGGTTCCGGCGGGGTTCGCCGTCGGCTCCTTTATCGAGCGGGAGCGGGACATCGATCTTGCGCGTAGGTCAGCCCCCGAGGAGGCGAAAAAGGGGGGGTGGGGCTGCAGACGTCCTCCATGCAAGGCGGCGCGTGAGCCATGGAGAACGTCGACGATCTGCTCGATTGCGCGTGGTTAGGGGGAAGCGGCGGAGACGAGGAGGAGTGAGGGAGAGACAAGACAAAAAAAAAAAAAGGGGGGGGGGGGGGGGGACACGCGCAAAAGATGGTGGAATGATTAAAATGAATGATGCCGTGCGAAAGACGGGCATCTGCGGAGGATGGAGGCTGTTTGTACATCTAGTTCTACAGGGGATATCTACAAGGCGATTGCAATGGTTCATTGCGCACAAATGACTATGCCGCAGCTGCCGACGCGGACGCAGACGAGTGGGCATCCTCGAATTCTTCGACTCGCTCAGCGAGCGCGCCCAAGTCCTTCAACGTCCACTCGCCGTCTTTGACCCAGGCCTTCCTCTCTCCCAACACTGCCGTAGCAGCGTCCTTGGCGCGGTTGATCAGGTATTCCTCCGCGACTCTCTTGACGTCCTCCGCCTTTACATCGAGAAGCTGCTCCCTCCTCTTCTGCTGCGCCGCCCATTCAACACCGGCCAAGAACCGCGTCATGCCTTCGTCTGCCACGCTCTGGGGCGCGTCGAGTCCTTGGAACACGCTCAACTTCGCCTCTTCGATGTCCCTATCGGTCCACTCCCTATCCACAGCCCATCGTCCCGTCTCCTCAACGATGCGGAGTGTGTTCTGAGGATTGGGATCCCGGTAGCTGTAGAAACCAAAGACACCACCGAGGCCCTGAGAAAAGGCGCCACCACCATAAGCCCCGCCCTTTTCCCGAATTTCGTGGTGTAGGTGCTTGTGCGTGAGGAGCTGAGCAAGAACCTGCAGCGCAGCGCCGGAGGGATGCGTGTATGGTACTGTGCGAAGCGCGATTCCAGAATAATACACTTGGTAGGGCAGTGGAAAGAATGTCTTTGCGTTCCGTGCGAACTTGGTCTGCTGCGGTGTAGCCGTCTCGAGACCCGTTGTGTTGATCTTGGCCGGCAGCGTCTGCAAGAAATCCTGAAGCATTTTCTCGTTTGTGCTTACGCTCTCAGGGTCACAATTCAAGGCTACGCGCAACGAGCTTGCGTTCGATATCGCAATCTGTTGGAGAATTTTTAGCTTGTCTATGACGTCTCTCAACGCGCCCGGCTCAGACCGTGACGCCAGCGCTGCCGTGAGCTGAACCTGCGTCAAGCCGGAGATCTGTTCTCGTAATCTCCCCTCTGGCGTCAGGCCAGCCATGGCATACCGCCTGGCGTATGCGTGGCCTGTCTCTGCAACACCGTCAATCGCTCCCATTGCGCTGGTTTGCAAAAGCTGTAAGATGCGTTTTTCGGCTTCGGGACTGTCAAAGTCCGTCTCAATGAGCAGTGTGCGCATGAGCTCATACATGGCCGGCACGTTGCGATCGAACGCGTATCCAGACAGCACGAGCCCTTCCTCATATCTGTCCAGGTCGGTAGGCGATGTTGAGGAATGATATCCGACGTTAATGCCACCCGTACGTAGCTTGATAAGTTCCTCCAGCTTCTCCATGCTCATGGTTCGGGTGCCCAGTCTGAGAAGCGCCTCCGTGAACAGAGGAATCAGCTCCCTAAGTTCGTCAGGCAGATTCTCGAAGCGGTGCACAGCGCGGAAGTACGTGAGTCCGTTGGTGGGGGCTTCTCGCCACTGCACCTGTACGTCTCCCATGCTCGTGTGTCGAAGCTCCTTCTCCGGCTTCACGCGGGGTATGTCAGCCACATGCAGGGTAGGCAGCGAGCTCAAGTCCTGATTCCTTCCGTTCTCTTGCTCCTCCAACAATTCGAGCTCGCGCTGAACGAGATGTTCCTTCGCGGCCTCAGCGCCCGGAAAGTCCTTGCTGGCCTCCTCGATCTTCCTCTCAAGTCGCTGGTTCTCCTCCTCCACAACTTCGGCAGCGTACGTCTCCGAGGGAACCATCGTAAACGTCAACGTTTTCTCTGTGAGGTAGTACTTCTTTAGCAGCCCCTCAAGATAACCGCCCGCGTGATAGCGCGCCTTGAATCCGTCCACAGTCTTCTGCCAAGCCAGCGCGTCAAATGGATCAACGCCATTGAACCAATCGGGGGTTACGCGGTTCATAAGTCCCATGCCGAAATGGGCAGTCTTGTGCTTGAGACTTAGCTCAAGCTGATGCAATATCCCCTCGACCTTGATCTTCTCGAAGCCTTTCTCGTGCACTTCCCGCAGCGTTTTGTGGATGGCTTCATGCACGGCCGACACGGATGACTCCTGCACGCCCGTTAGACCAACGGAGAAGCTGGCACCGCGCCCTGTGGCGCTGAATCCGGTGTTTGGCGTGAAGTCGGAGCCGAGGCCGCTCTCGATGAGAGATGTGTACAGCGGTGAGCCGTATCCGTCCAGAAGTAGACTGGAAAGCACACTCAGGCCAAATCGCTCGACCATATCTTCAGCCTCTTTCACGACCCACGTCAAAGACGTTTTGTGCTGCTTGTCCGCCGGCACGAGAGGGTCTACGGGCCCTTTGATCGTGACCGTCTTGGGGCCCATGGACAGATCGATCGGCTGCTTGATATCGGTATCTATCTCGATCCGCTCGAACTTGTCTAGCTGCTCCCCGACCTCTTTAAGGTGCTCTGCAAGCGGCATATCGCCATAGGTGAAGATCTTTGCGTTGCTGGGGTGGTAATGCACGGCGTGGAAGCTCTTCAGCTGCTCGTACGTTAGATCCGTGATCTTGGCTGGGTCACCACCGGAGTTGTTCAACGCGGGGATCAGGTGCTCGTGGAAGCGTATGTAATACAGATAGCTCGCATCGCTCATCTGGCCCTTCATCTCGTTGTATACAACGCCTTTGAACACCAGCTTCTCAGCGGCTTCAGCATCGCTTCCATTCTTGCTTGCGGCCGCCAGTGGATTCTCGGGACCTATGCGCCAGCCTTCCTGCGCGAAATCGGTAGCTTTGAGAAGTGGATTCAGAGTGGCGTCGAGGTAGACGGACATGAGGTTCCGAAAGTCTTGCGCGTTGGTCGTAGCGAACGGATAGGTCGTATGATCGGAGGACGTGAATGCGTTCATGAAATTTGAGAGAGAGCGAGGGAGCATCTTGAAGAAGGGATCGCGAACCGGGTATCTAGGTTGAAGACATTAGCACCATGCATCGACAGCTCGATCTATGCCTAGGACGCGAATAGATTGTTCAGAAGCCACAACTTTTGCGCATCGTCGCGCATGACAGCGTGGTCAATTAAGCCCATCACTCGGCTAGAAGCGCTAGAAGCTGAGCGACTTACTTGACACTCCCGCACAGAGTGGTATGCTCTAAAATATGCGGCACACCGGTCCCATCCGGCGGGTTCGTCTTGAATCCGATGGCAAACACATTGTTCGGGTCCCCCCGCGCCACATGCAGATACTGGGCGCCCGTCCTGTCATGCTGAAGATGCACAGCGGTGAGCTCAAGCTCAGGTACGTGCTGGGTGCGCTGAAGCGTGAAGCCGTGGAGTTTGGAGCCGGGCTTGGGGAAGGCGGACGGGTCTGTTATGGAAGCATTCGACGAGGCGGTGGTAGCATATGTGCGCGGCTGGCGAGAAAGCAGCGACTGGCGCCACGCGGAGGGGATTCGGGCGCGTAGCATGGTGAAGACGGAAGGGTAGAGGAGGACAGCGAGGAGGGCGATGAGGACGGAGATGGAGATGTACGGGAATGCTAGCCTGCTTCTCATACAGCCATGGGCTCCTAGGCTTAGTCGGGTTGGGCGCGGAGTTTGTCAAGACATCGGCGTCGCCACAGCAAGAAGTCTCTATCGTTCTGGACAGCTAGGATATGTGGGTCCCAAGATGGCCAAAAGGAGGAAATGCAAACTGAGCACACAAGCACCGGTGTGCGACGGCTCGCCGTTGTAGCTTGCGTGTACGAGGAGCAGCGGGCAGAAAAAAAAAGACGGAGTCGACCGGTGCAGGGTGACGAATCAGAAGGCTTCTGAGCTGGCCAAAAGGCTGGCGGCGGACGCAGCGAAGAAACAATAGCTACCAACATGGCCTCCTTCGTTGCACGCCGGGCCCGCTGGCCTGGACTGCGGCCCGGCGGCGGAAGCAGTAGTAGTAGCAGCAGCAGCAGCAGCAGCAGAAGACGCAGACGCAGACGCCACAGCACACAGAAAACACGTCCTTGATGCTGGCGACATCGTCCCCCAGATCTGCCCGTTGCGAAACAATAACCTGAGCGCCTGCATGTAATTTCGAGCCACCCTCTTCGGCTTCTTCATCTCGTGCGAACCCCCCTGGTGCTCTTCTTTGCTGTTCTTCACCCACTCCTCCTCCTCCCCCCGTCGACTTGCGCATCGTCATTTTCGTCGTCTCTCCTTTCTTCATTGGCCTGCATGTTCTCTCGCACCGCCATCCTACACTAATCCAACGCGTCCTTGGCTGTCGCAACCTGCCCGTCCAGATCAGCGCTAGTCTCACCGCCGTGGACTACCACCCCCTCGCGTACCCAGTGCCAGTCCCGCTCGCCGAACGAGAGCCAATTCCCATACCGTCGGCCGCCCCTTTGTCAGACCAACCGGCCGGACGAGAAATACAGAGCGTGTTCTCGCCTGCGCCCTGCACAAGCTTGTCGGCGCCTCCGCCGCATCGGACACGCGAAGAGATCTGCGACCATTCGAGGTCGGCATTCCCGTTTCGCCTCTGCGCGCGCGCTCGCTCGCTTGTACTTGTTGTACATGTGGTAGCGTGACATTCTGGGGTGCGTCGAAAGTGCGTGGCCGCCTTGTACGATACAGGAAAGAGAATTGCCATATGACGGGCTCGTTCTACACATGCAGGCCACCACCAAGGCGCAAGCCCAGCATGCCCAGAGAACGAAGCTCACCAACTCGTACCAGGAGCTGCTGGAGTAAGTCGAACGCTTCCTTCTCCGCGCGACCCCACGGTCGTCGCGTCCCTTCTGTGCGTGTGCGACCGCGAGCTGACCTTTGGCGACAGCGAGTTCGGTGACAAGGACTTGAGGACGGTGGGGAATTACCAGCTGGGACGCCTCATAGGCAAAGGCAGTTTTGGGAAAGTCTACCTGGCTACCCACAAGCTGACCAATGGCTCCAAGGTGCGTACGTTACATTCTACATGAGCAGTGGAGATGCAATGGGGTCTCCGCTTTGCGTCTGCACGAGAAACGCAGTGGTGGCACCAGACAAGATGCTGAGGTACAATCTGCAGGTGGTGCTCAAGAGCGCGAAGAAGGACGATGCGAATCTAGCGCGCGAGATACACCATCACCGCCAGTTCATACACCCGCACATCGCTCGCCTGTACGAAGTCATCGTGACCGAAACGATGGTCTGGCTGGTTCTCGAGTACTGCCCAGGTAAAATAGTCCCCCTTCAAATCCTCCTGCCCCTGATTCCGTGCGATTTTGTTCTAACACCCACCGCCCACCAGGTGACGAGCTGTATAACCACCTCCTGAAAACAGGGCCTATGGAGCCTGCCAAAGTCCAGAAGATCTTCACCCAGCTCATCGGCGCGGTCTCGTACGTGCACCAGAAGTCCTGTGTGCACCGAGACCTCAAGCTTGAGAACATTCTATTGGACAAGCATGAGAATGTCAAACTGGTCGACTTTGGCTTCACGCGCGAGTACGAGGGTAAGTCGTCATATCTGCAGACGTGGTGTGGTACCGTGTGCTACAGTGCCCCAGAGATGCTCAAGGGAGAGAAGTACGCAGGCGAGAAGGTTGATGTGTGGAGCCTCGGCATCATCCTGTACGCATTGCTGTGTGGCGAGCTGCCCTTCGATGAGGACGACGAGGAGGTCACCAAGAGCAAGATCTTGCGCGAGGAGCCAACGTATCCAGATCACATCCCCGCCCAGGCCAAGGATCTGATCAGTCAACTGCTGTCCAAGCGACCCCTGTTGCGACCGACACTAGCGGACATCCTACAGAATCCATGGTTGGCGGAGCATGCGCCGCGACAGCAGGAAATCTTGAAGCTTCAGCAGCCGGCGCCGTTCACAACCGATCTGGAGAAGGAAACACTTCAGCGAATGCGCGGGGCGGGCGTGGATATAGATCTTGTGATTGAGAATGTGCTGTCGCAACGGTGCGATTCTCTCGCCGGCTGGTGGGCGCTCCTCATCGAAAAGGAGGAGCGCAAGGCCAAGAGACGAGAGCGGAGGCGGAAGGAGAAGGAGGCGGAAGCAAAAAGCTTGCGAAGATTGAGCGCGGCAAGCAGCAGGCTGGACAGGATTGCACCAACCATCAGGGAACTGGATGAAGAGCATCTCGGCGTTCCCGTATTGAGCGATCCGCCCAAGAGTCGGGGCAGAAGTGTAAAGAGATCAAGTTCCACCGCTCCCGCGCCGGATCTTCCCAGACTGGCGGAGAATTCGACCACGAACTTGAACGAGCCACCCACGCCGATTGACAAAGACTCCGTCCGATCACTTAGCCGGTCGCGTCCACCGCCTCCGCCGAAAGAGCGGCGGGAAAGCAGCACGTCTCAGCTCCAGGTTGCCGTCAAGACCAACGGTGCCGGCCAAGAACCGCGCCGACGAATTCGTTTCCCGCACAACCCGATCCTCAGCCAGCTTGCCTCGCTCAAACACTGGTTCAAAGAGTCTGCCAAGCGGGCCAAATCGCCTCATTCAAAAGCGCATCCTCCGTTACCAGAGAAAGTCCCCGCCGTCAGACCTCGACCGAACGTGCGGCGGTACTCCGCGGCTAGCACGGCCTCGTATCGGTACTCAAACTCACACGCCCGCATCGAAGGGGCTCACGTCCGTGCAAGTTCGGCCCATCGAACTCTCCCATCTACAAACGGCGCCGGAACGACGCCGTCGGCAAAACGCACGTCTTTATCTCCTTCGCCCTTAACTCCACACTCCTCTTACCGCCGAAGCGTCTCCGGACTTCGCGGCCGCAAATCCACCAGCTCATCTCTCTCGTCCGTTCGCTCGATACACCACGTACATACGCACTCCAAGGCCTCGTCTACGTCTTCGACAAACGCTTCGCTCGCTTCCCCGACAACTCCACACTCGACCAAGGGTGTGCGCTCTCCACAGTCCTCTGTCAAGGTCCTGCCGGCCACGCCTCCTTCTGGGCCCTTGCCCTCTGGACTCCGTGTCGCTCGTGGTCTGGACGCACTGCGCCTTTCCGAAGGCGGTGCCGCGTTCTCCGCACTCCCGCCACCCAGCCCCGGGCTTCCCATCTTCGCGAAGAGAAAGCGTAGTGTGTTCAAGGGTCCCATGCTTACTCTCGGTCATTCGACCGGTCGACGGGAGACTGGCAGCAGGAGCGGGAGCGTGCAGGGAAGGACGAGCGGTGAAATCATCGAGGAAGAGGATGAGAACGAGGGCGCGGTGGAAGAGGAGGTGGAGGAGGTGGAAGAGTTCAGCCCGGTCAAGTTTGGAGAGGTCGTTCTGGAGGAGGAAGGACCGCCTGTTAAGGTGGATTGACCTGATGCCACCGGTGCTCCCATCTCATTTTTACTCTCCGCGCTTCTTTTTCCTGCTTCATGCTCGTTTTCCGAGGCAGGACGACTTACGGGAGGGGGACGCGAAAAAAGCGAGTTATCCCTTTTTTTCATGACTGACGACCAAATCTCACGATTGAGGCGAAACCTTTTTAGACTTGGGACTCTTTTGGAGGGCAAACCGGGATTCCATTGTCGTGTTCTTTCGCGTCTCGACTCTTTGCTGCGGCTTTTCTTTTGATCACTTTCTGGACCATTGGACCGCGGCGAGTGCGGTCTTGTTGGTACTCCCCTTCCCCAGGGTTTGCCCTCCATTTCTTTTAGAAGGTCAGAATGCTGGCGCGCGTGCCTTGGTTGGAAACGAGAGATGGTCTTGCTATATTTTTTTTATTTGTTTTTTTCTTACTCTTCTTGGATGCAGGATATACATGCACTTCCTCTGTGGCATACGTGCCGCGATTTTTGGGCCGCCACTAATCGTTGATACCCAGCGCTTGGCTTTCTTTATTTTTATTATTTTTTTGAAAAAAAAAATTTACTTCGCCTGCATCTCAGTGATCTTGAGGGAGTTGGTTTATCTTTTCTTCTTTCTACGTCTCTCCTCCTTTGCCCAATTTCTTTCGACGGTTGGAGTTGCTGTCCGTTGCTTGTGAGCGCACGCAAACAACATTTCGAGTGCATCGTCCATTGAATTCTGCTATGCCGATCAAGGGGCTATGGGGATAAACGGAGTTCTTACGCTCGACTCGACTTTGATTGATGAAGCTGAGATGCCGAAGTATACGGATGACAGAAAGCGAGAAGTGACTACTTCCTCTGAAGTTCAAGGTAAACTGCTTGTCGAGCCGAGCCCGAGAAGCGTCTAGAGGACATTTACGCGTGGCCAAATCTGCGTCACGAACCATACGGATCGTACCCATGAGCAAGCAAGACACTGACCGTTAATCTAGAGCATGTTCATCGTTGGCGTCGCTCAGTTCATGCAGCAATCGCGTGGACAAAGTCGACAAAATACAACTGGATCCTCATGAAACGCCACGTTCTCAGCCTCAGTGAGAGCGAAACAGCTCATGAAATTACGTTGTATTCTAAAAGTTGCGCCAGATTCGTACAAGTATGCGCATACTTCGGTGAGTCGTGAGACCGGAATTCCCAGGCGCGTTGTTCATGGTAGATCCTTATTCCAGGTTATGGACCCGTGAGCGGACAACGGGAGGGGCGTTTTGTGCACAGATATCAACACTGCTGTCAGATGCAGGAGGTTTCAGGGCCGCGACGAAACGCACTCTCTCCGTAGGCCTCGATCCGCGGTTACGTTATGGGAATTCAAGTTTGGCTGTGTGGAAACGACCAAAGCGAGCACAGGCTGTTGATTTGCGGATGGATGTACGCAACTTGTGTGGCTGTTGAAACAGACGTGCATGCCCTACATCATGCGCGCCAAAACGCACCGAAAACGACGAGCAAAAGAAACGGAATCGGATATCCCATCAGCTTAAGAGGGAAAAAATTTTTTTGGCAAATTGCGTCCGTCTCGTCAACGGATGGACGGGCGATGGGTGTAATCGGTGCAAATTTGCAGATTGGAGAGATTGGTTTCAGTCGACCATCTGGATCGAGATTGTATCTGAGCTAGCGAAGATTGCCCCAAACGAGCGTTGTCGAGTCCCCGGAGGTGTCACCTTCATGCAGGAACAGCTAAAGACATTTTTAGTCTTTTCCTTGCAGAGTCCTAGGAAAGCTTGTCCCAAGAACATCGCTGTCTACGACAACTGAGAGCCTTCACGTCACAGCCAAGCTTTCGTGGTTTACGTAGACCCTAACGGATATCAGCCCTGACAGCCATTATGGATCGCATGCCCCTGGTATCAGAGCTTCTTCTGGACCGTGTTCGTACAGATCCTGCCCAGATCGTACAACAATGTGCTTAAAGGAGGTTCGGATTTTCCAACACATGGCTTCGTTGTCCTCACGACACAACCTGGACGACTTACGACGACACGAGGCTGATTGAAGAACATGCAGTCGTCCGCTTGGAGAGACGGGATGTGTATATAAGGAATAGGCAGAGCAATCGTCGAGTTCATCGTCACAATCACAGCTCACTACATTCCTCTCGACAACAACAGCAACAACTTCCACCACACTCTTTCGCGCTCATTCGCCTTAGAACCAACTCCGCTTCTAAACCAACCAACCGAATCATTCAAAATGCAGTTCTCAGCAGTCTTCGCTCTTCTGGCCTCCGTTGCCGCCGTTTCCGCTCTACCACAGACACAGGTGAGTGACTAGGTCTTTCTCCTCGAGACATAAAAGGGAACCAATCCGGTGCAGGGCAACGCCAACAACCAGCCCGCACAAAATCAGCCCACTCAGAATCAGCCAACAAATAACCAACCGACTCAGGCAAGCTACACTCCATGCTCGACCGGCCAGCCACTTTGCTGCGGTCTTGGCCCGAACGGCCAGCCGGATCTGAACTGCGTCACTCGTAAGTACACCCGCTCGGAAGGAGACAAAAGCACACGGAAGCTGACGGAGCGGCCAGCACCAAGCACTCCCGGCAGCAAAACCGACTTCACTCAGATTTGCGCCAAGCTGGGCCAGCAGCCCATCTGCTGCACTTCCGGCCCCGTCTCCGTAAGTTCCCCACACCTCCGACTCGGGCATTTCGTCCAGCGAGAAAGCAGTTACTGACGTCGAGATTTCAAAAAAATTACAGGGCGGTCAAGCGACCGGTTGCCAGGCTCCAAACAACTAGGTCCGTTAGCAATACGAACTCGAAAAAGGGTGGGGGGTTGGGTCGGAGCTTGAGAGCGAAAGCACATTTGGGCGTCCAGCATTTGGGACCTGATGGTGTTGTAAATCAGCAGGCAGCCTCATCTGTTCGTCTTCGGCGCTCACGTCGCTTTGCTCGCGAGGACTGGGCGCAGGCTAGTGTTGTCTATTAGAGGGCGCTTCGGTTCTAGATAATGGTGCTAGTCTCTCCTTTATAATCTAGGCATATGGGTCGGCTTTTTTTTCAATTCGGTCGTTCGCAGCATCTTCATATCGTTCGTGATTGTGACGCTCTCCAAGCTTCAGATATATTCTTGTTATTTTTTATATTATTTTTTCCCTCTCTCTTTTGAACGGTCTTATTTCGTCCGTCTGAACTTGAGTCCTGGCGAAGTGTTCCTTCCGCTGAATCACGCGAGAAGGACCTTCTCATTTTGTTCCAACATCTTCTTTTCTTTTTAACTCCGTCTTTTTCGTCGTATGACTATTCTATTAGCAAGATGGAGTCAGCGCCAATCCCTCGTAGACATTCCGTGGACTTCGGCTTGCCCATCCTTCCACCAGGAATGCCGGCACAGTTCATGCCTGCACAGGTGTGGTTCTGTCTTCGGCAGCAGTTCGGACAAAAGAGAGGCGCATGGATGCCAGGCGAACATCTTTACCCCCCTAGAGTCGGGAGCCTTGCAGTGGCAAACTACCTCCTCCATGTGAACACGGTTGAGTCATGCAACAGGCGCAGAGCTAGAATCGTGGAGAAGAAATCACCGGCGCTGTCAGATGACGGCGATGGCCGCCTAGACGAGCTTCTCGCCGTAGTCTCTCCCCTTCGAAGGGGCGAGATGCCTTCTGCTTCGCGGAGTCTTGGCCTATTCCCAGACCTTCGAGAACCGCTTGCATCAATAACATCGGCTCTATCAATATGAACTTCTCGTGCTCCGCAGCGTAAAGCCGGATTTTGCACGGATCAGCCTCGGGTAAAATGTCGAGGTTTGTGTCCGCCACCCCAGTGTTTGGTGGGTGCAAGACCAAGGTGATTTTTATCGAATCCCAACCGGTTTACACTACGAAGCTGGAGGTTCGCTGGAGATGCGCCAGGGGCGGATTACCTAGTGGGGACGAGATCTTCTGGAGTCTAGATTTCGATTCGAGGCAACAGTCAAAGGAAGAGGGGAGCAAAAGCCAGTCTGCAGGAATTGTATGTCTCATTTGTTGTGTGCAGCTTTACGTGATATGTTCGATTTTATGCGAGTTCACTTTCAACAACACCTGCAATGGGCTTGTGGTCTAGTGGTATGATTTTCCCTTAGCATGGGAGAGGTCCGGGGTTCAATTCCCCGCGAGTCCATTCTTTTTTTCGCGCGGCGAAAAGTTCTACTTTTTCTTTCATGTTGTTCTTTTTCCTTTCTTTTTTGGTTTTTGCTCAATCAGTACATTTTCTTTCGGCTCAAATTTTTCTCGTCCTCAGAAATGCAGGTATCAGAGCTGGCGGTGCGCGCGAGCCTCACCGAGAGAATTCTACGGAGTGCATGCTTTTCGCTTTCTTTTCCATGCAGCACTTGTCCTGCCAATTTCTTCGAAGCTCAGATGCTCGTTGCATGCTGAAGATCTTAAAAAGGACTCGTAGACGGCACAGCACTCGTGCTCACCGATGTAGCATATGATTTGTGTGCAAGAGTTCGGTGCAGCCTCAGCCACCTCCAGGTTCTTGACATTCGAGCTGCACCAAGGAAACCTTGCACCCCCATTTGCTCACAAAGCGCTCTTAGCGGACCAGAGAGACATGACACACCTTCTCACGGTCTCGATCGAGGCGTTTTCGGGCCGGTCGACTGGTCCGACGCCTTGTCCTCGGAAATCCGCCTTGCAAACCACCTAGCCTTACCTGGGCATGCAGGGCTGGTCCCATGGCCTCCTACTCAATGACGTACAGAGCAGCAGATGACCTGCACTGACGCCGGTTTATGTAAGCTCGTTCAGCTGGAGGCGGAGCAGCACCGGCTTTCTGTGTCATGCAGTTCATATCTGTCTTTTTTGCTGACTGTTCGCCGCTGATTTGCAAGTCATATACCGATAGAGCATTTTGGCGTTACTCAAGAGTAATCTTCACCGCGTCCCGACTCTTCTCCCCACCGGATATATAGCCAGAGCCCTTCCCTTTCGTAAGCCGTCGTCTAGATCTTCCGCCCTTGTTGAACGCAGTCCCAAATGGCAGCCCAAGAATATTACCAGAGCTTTCAAGAGCCGTTACAAGGTGCTCCTCCATACCCAGTGCCGCCACCTCCTCCACAAGGCGGCAGGCGACCGTCGCTTGCGCCGGTACAGCCGGCATACTCGCACAACTATTCTCCTGCACCCAGTAATTATGCGCAACAGCAGTTTTTAGGTGTGCCCGGTCAAGTTCCAGAAAGTGTGCAACCCTGGCGACCGCAGTCAGATTATCCACAGCCGCATTATCAAGGACCGCCTGCTGGCCCCCAGTACGGAGCGGCTCTCATGCCGTCCAGGTCGAAATCAGAACCGCCCGAGTACCGAAGGACGAGTGTGGACTCGTACGGCTCACACAAGCATCATCATCATCATCACCACAACCACAGCCACAGCCACAGCCAGCGTTCGCGATCAAGATCAAGGTCCCGGTCCCGACACCACGATCGAGACTACGACGACAGGGACTACAGCGACCATGGCGAAAGCAGCAGGTCAAGGTCACGACATCATTCACACCGTCGCCGGAGTTCGCACGAGTCTCGCGACACCTTTCTTGGCGCAGGAGCTGGGGGCTTGATTGGCGATGCTTTGTTACCCGGCCTGTAAGTCCAAGTCTTTTGCGAAACACCGGGCTCGAAACTCGAGTCCCGCTGGCATTGTGGCAAGCTGATGCCTTTTCCGCGCGACAACGCCAGGCGGTCGAGTTTCGGAGTCCCTCCTGCTTTCATTCCTGTGCACTTCCCAACGTTACTGACATCCCGTTCAGAGGCACGCTCTTCGGCGCCATCGCCGGCGGCTTGGGTGGCCATGAGTACGCGCACAGGAAAGACGAGAGAAAGAGAAGAGAATCCCGAAGCAACAGTGACTCGGCCTATCGGGACGGCATCACCGTTAAGAGCGGCTGGATCAGGCGCTGATCACATCCTTAGAGAGTGATGCAACTTCTTCCGAGCGGAGGTATACATGAAGATATGAAGCTTTTCAGAGTCCCGCTGGACGGGAAGCCTTTCAACCGTTTTGCGATGATATCCACGTACCAGTGTATTTACATCCTCTAAAGTAACGAACTTTCACGACCTCAGCGGTTTTCCCACCTTTGGTGGGCTCTCGTCGTCTTTTTCTTCTTCTTATCAACTCCCCAGTTTTAATCAAAAATGGCCACAAACAAATAAGATCCTTGGGCATAAAATACGTGAGGTACCTATTGATACCTATTGATATGATTAAAGTCGTAGTTGAACAATTGGCTAGCCGCAGCTAAGTCTCGCTTTACCACTCAAAGGATAAACAACCTCTTCCATCGCCTACTCTCTCTCTCTCTCTCTCTCTCTCTCTCTCTCTCTCTCTCTCTCTCTCTCGCTCTCTCTATGCACAAGCAGTCTTCCCGCAACGACCGCAAAATTAGTTTGTACAGGGAAAAAAAAGGGGTTGGGGGGTTTTGCATTAACCGTCAGATATACGTGGTATCAAGAACGAGAGGTCGCTCAAATTCCGTCGTCAAGTCGTGTCCTCGTACACTGATAACCAAAATCAATCACAAAGTTTTTGAACCTTCCTTTCCCATCTTTCTCCCAAAGAAAAAAAATTCTCCATATTGAGAGCATTTGCGTTTCCGTTCTTATTGCTTCTTCTTCTTCTTCTTCTTCTTCTTCTTCTTCTTCTTCTTCTTCTTCTTCTTCTTCTTCTTCTTCTTCTTCTTCTTCTTCTTCTTCTTCTTCT